TCCAGTATAGGGTGATCCAAGTCTGTTTGAGAGCGATGAGCCGCAGTCCTTCTCTGGATCCCACAGAGTGGTTCCAAATGTTCCAAGACTCCAAGATTATATATCCTGCAGTTCAGGCAGGAATGCTCAGCACTTCCCTCAGGGCGGGGAGTTCCACAAAGGGTGTGAGGACAGGAGCATCCTCCTATCTCACAGGCCTCTTAACACCTAGTTTGTAGCCTGAGGAGTCAGGCTCTATGGGCAGATGGTGTAAATGGTTCATTGATAACAGTTTCTGGGAAATGGCATGGAAGGCTATAGAATACACAGTTTTGGGTTACACCCATACCCTGATGAACTGGTCTCAGTTGTCCTAACTAGGACAATATGCCAAAAGGCTCAGGTATCTTTTGTGAATAAGTAAATCTCCCCTGCTGTAAAAACTGTTAAGAAAAAGATCTAAAATTAGTATTTTAATACTGCCAAACTTCTCAAGGATTTTTTCCTTCTGGACACAATGCTGGAGCAATAGCTGTTAGGGTTCTTTGTTTCTGATAGCATTTGTATTCATTACCAGTTAATTTTACCTATTGTAATGTGTTCCTTGCAGGCATTTTTAATGGTATAAAGCATTCATTTTTAGTCCTGATTGTTTTTATAACATCAAGACCTTTAAAATAGCCCTGCTTTATTATTTAGTATTATTTATACAACAATATAAATATGCATAGTACCCTCCCGGCATAAGAATACTCCTTAAATGTAGCAATAATCTTCAGGCACTGCTTCTGGACCTCAATACAGCATGTTCTGGACATCAGGTCAATTAGATTTTCAATCTCCACTTCCATTTTCTGAAGTAGTATTAGGTAAAAGAGAGGTGGACCTGCTATAATGCTGAAGGATACTGTGGAGAAAGCAAGGGTCAATTTTCTTTTAGAGAGTGGAAGATGATAGTTTTTGACAGGTACCGTCAATTTCTTTTTGCAATAAAAGCTTTTTGCAATAAAATGGGAAGTGTGTGCAGCATTTTACATTTCCTAAATAAATTACCCAACACATATACACACGCGCACTTGTCAAAGCTAATGGCATTCTTTCTGCTGAACCTGACAAATTCCAGTCCTAAATCTTAACAAGAATAAATCTTGGCCAAATGTTGACATTTTACCCTCCTTCTGGGCCTACCTCTCCAGGGAGCAGAATAGTTCCTCTTCTCCAGCATCCTGAGCTGTATCAACCCTGCAGAATGCAGGGTCCCCACAACACAGCAAGCTTGCTCTAATGGAACATTTTCTGTCAAGTGCACAAAACTAAAAGTGATACTACAGCTTTCATTCATTTTAATGTTTTGTGGTTTTGGTCTACAGTGAACTCAGATACTTTGCTTGCCATAGGCATGTTTCAGATCAAGTATTTTAAAAGTCAAGCTGAACAATTCTTGTCTAGTTTAAGATTTTCTGTTCACAACTAATTGTACAGCAAGGTAGAGTACTCAGCCAGAAAAACCTTTGTAAAGTAAAATGCATCTCTAAAAATTCAGTTTTGCCATCGTGGTATAAAAACTCTATATGCAGAGCTAATTATAGATATGCCTCTATTTGCCATAGTTTGTCATTGCCCTAAAATACAGGGATGTGTTCCCTATGATCAGCTACATGCATATGTTCTATAGTACATTCAGTTGCGTGTCTTCTCTATTTAGCCAAAGTGTCCTGTGAAAAAACTTTGTATGTGAACCCTTGAGCATCATATTCAGGTATTGAACTAAGTATTTTAGTGCTGACAGCAAAAGAAAAGGCAGTTCTCCAGTGATCAAGGCCTCTTGATACCACTTGCTGGCTCCTGGGAAAAACAGAGAGTGGAAAGCTTGCCTGTCCTGGCTGTCTTTTTGAAGGTTTCCTACAGTTTGATGCTTTTAATGAAATGTCTCTATGGTTGAGGAAAGAAAACTTAAAAATGCAAAACCTTAAAATCCGTAAAACAACAGTGAAATAATGAAGAATAAACAGGTGTTTTCAGGGAAGAGAAGATAGGGGACATTGCACTGTTTTACTTTTATATATTTTAATACTATTCTTTCATAGAAGAGAGTTTTATTCTATCTAACATTACCAAAGAAATGATGATGCAGCTGACTGGGATTCTGAGTATCTTTTATAGTGAGAAAGGACCTCTAATTCCTCTCATTTTTGGTATAGTTCATGATGCTGTTGAGTTGGAAATACAGATTCAGTACAGAATGTTCCTCTAAGAAGTTATTTTGGTTACTATTGTAATATCCTGAAAAACACAGGTGAGCGAGGGTACATGGTGATTCTTAATATTCCATGTGTCCACTGAGGTATTTTCTCAAAGCAAGAGAAAGATAATTTTTATCTTAATAAAAATAAAAGAAAATAAAACAAAATAAAAAAACCCCCATTGTTAATAGCTAGAGGTAACAGACAAAAAGCTTTATTTTGACAAATGAGTTTTCTCACTCCTTTTTCCTGCTTTCTCCCCTGTCCCACTGGTAAGGAGGGAGGGAACCACCAGCTATGTGGGTACTCACTTGCTAGCAAGGACCAATGCATTGCAGCATCAGGCACAGTTAGGAATGTGAGACAACTATAAACATAAACCATCAGATAGAATAGTCAACTAGTATTTGGTGGGTCTAGAAAAACACATTAAAATTAAAATTCTTGGGGAGGATTTGGGAAGTTTTCAGATTTGGTGGGGTTTGCATGTTTCAGGAGGTTGAATCAGCAATCTGAGATTTTAGCATTTATTTAGCATCTACAACACTGAATAAAGTAGGGCTGGAAGCTAATCCTTTTTCCTAAATCCAGCTAGCACAGACTTACATATATGCTGCCCATTGCAAGCCTCCACCAGGATAGAAGTAGCTAAGTAGCTAGACTGATCCTAGTGGAGGCAGTATGCATGTCCTTATACTACTTAAACTCCTAGTGTCCTGAGAGCCTTAGGTGGTACTGCTGTGACTCTAAAATTTGATTATTATTTTAGGGGATATTTCAGCCCAGTGTGTCTGAAGCAATATGAGGGATGGGTTGCAGCCCATGACGTTGTGTTTTAGTGACATGAAACTGAAGGGGTGATGAGTGATAAACTGTGCAGTATCACAAAGATGCACATGGGATGTGTTTGAGATGCAGAGATTGCTGGGTCAGTGCTGGAGAGTTGTTTAGGGTGGAGAAAGTTAAATCTGGTACAGTCATTAATACTGACTTTCTGGGCGTCATGTCTGACATGAACCATCCTTAGAGCCCAGGCCTGAATGCTGTTCTGGAGAGAGTTAGTTTAGATTGTCCACAACAGAGCTATGAAATAAATGAGCTTTGAAAAGATATAAGTGATTTAGCTTCTAGTACTTGGGTTCATTTTACATTCCTCTTTTTTTGAGCAATATAGATGTGAAGTATTTAGATTCTACAGTTACTGTTTTCAGCCAAAAGTTTCTAAATTTCAACAGGAAAAAGATATTAGATCTGAATTTTACATAACATTGAAGGATTGAGGATACAGCAGCAGTCACCACATTAATTATAATCAATTTTTGTAATTAAATATGAGTTATTAAGACATCAGTCTGCTTGGATAAGAAAACCCCAGATATTGAAGCTGGATTTTTATCAGATAGGATGTCTGTAGGCACAGCTGTTATCACACAAACATTTGCAGTCCTCCGACATGACTTTGCTATAATTTTTTTGCTACTTCTAGTGCCTTTTTGTCTCCTGTATTCATCCTGAAGTTCTACGTAAGAGAGTAAGCTTGATTCTTGCTTTCATTTACCAGCACCTTGTACATAAAATATTTGTGAAGTGGTGTAAGGGATTATGCACCAGTTCATCCCTATACAACACACTGCCAGTGCACTCCAGAGTCTCTGCAGAATGTTTTGTGTACAAATGTAGATGATACCTGCTGCAGAGCATGTTAGGAGGGATGGTGGGAGGGAGAGACCATTGATGCTGCCTCCTTGGGGCAGGCCTAGGAGATGCAACTTTCTGGATGTGGCAGCTCTGGGAGGTGTGCTGCTGGTGACAGTGTCCCATACAGTACACCAAGGAGCATTACAACCACCAGGCAGCCTTTGGCTTTCCATGTGGCATTTTGTTTTACTCCTTCCCCAGCATGTGTGGGGTGTGCTGTAAGGCCTATGTCATCTGGGCAGTGAGGAAACCTGGCCACATGATCTTCCCTTCTGCAATGTGTTTTTAGTGCAGCTTGATCAGCTGAGGACAAAAAGTGACAAAGTCTGCATGTGTGGAGCTGGATTTCCCTAGCTCCGCTGCATTAAGCTGGAGTAGCATTACTACTTCTTTTTTGCTTGGGCTACAAGTTGCCAAACAAAGGTTGCTGATTATCCAGCCCTGCAGATCCCATAGATACAGTACCACTGGTCAGATGTGATTACTGAAGGGAACTGCGTTTTTGATAAGTGGATCATGTATTAGTCCTCTATTCAGGTGGAATTAGGAAAGTAAAAATAAAGAGCAGAACTCAAAGGCAGAATTTGAGCTGTGCAAGACTTTAGGATTTACCTGAGGGTTAGTTTTTAGTTTCCATCTTTCTTTGTATACTCATGCAAAATAGAAACCAGTAAACCCCTGAGAGTTATTCCCTCTGTCATAGGAAAATTTGACATGCTGGGGTAAAAAATTGTCAGAAATATAGCATTCAGCCAGTCCTTGCCATGCTTCTGCTGAAGCAGTCTATTCCAAGACTGCACAAATGTTGTCGTCTGCTTTATTAGTACAGATGTGCTCTGCTCTCCCCTCCGTGACTCCTGTTTGCCTAGGTGCTGTGATTGAGATGATCAAACTTTAGCTTCAGCTGGACGATGACTCAGAAACCAGTACATGTATTTGCACTCGTGACAGCTGAAAGTCCAGACAGAGGAGGAGCTTACAAGGAATTGAAACTAATTTGTAGAAACTCCAAAGTTTTGAGTCTTTCCCTAGCCTAAGCAGCAATACTTGTGTCTGACAATTCAAAGTACTCCCAAAGCAATGTCTGGGGTTAGAGGATGGAGGGAAGGCAGCAGGTACAGGACAGCTGCTGGCTCTAGTACTCCATTTTCCTCTCAGGGTTACCCCTTGGATGGCAACAACAAAACAGAGAAGGGTAAAAGCACCCAGAAGCTGAAAACGTCTGGAAAGGAACAAAGCAGCCAAGCGCCGGTCTACCAACAACAGCAAGAGCAGCAGTAAGTAACAAGGAGCCTGTCCAAGATGATGTTATGTGTATTGGGTGCCTGTTCCCGAGCTTGCTTGAGCTGTATATCTTTAAAGGGGGAAATACTTCGTAGAGAGCCTGTGAACGGGGCTGAGCGCACAAGCAGCATATTGTCCTTTTCTTGGTGCTTCCAACATGGGACCTGAGTTGTTCTGGCAGGCTTTGGCATGGCTTACACCCTGTGCAATAGCAGTGGCCAGTTCTATATGTTGCATATCGGCATACGTAGGGTCTGTTTCCTGGCATCTTTTTTCAAAGTGAAATTTCAAATCTGGTTCTAGCTCCTTGTTTTCTGTTTCTCCTAATATTTCATTCTGAGAAGTCTAAAAATACTTCTACTGGCTTAAGAGATGGATATAGGCTGCATTCCAGCACTGATCTGAATGCAGTCAAGGACACAGAACAGTTCCAGCAACTTCATGCTGACAAAAGTAAAACGAAACTTTAGCCCTCAGTTTCATTTTGTGCTTTATTGGAATCTATGCTCAGTCCATCTCTGGTTTTCCAGTAGCAATTCTGAGATAGCTTGTATAGCCTGTGTCTTGCAGATATAGTACAGAATAGAAACTGAAAGTAATGTGTGTATTTTTTATGCACGTGTTTAATACAAATAGGCTTAGCTGAACAGAGCTAATTGTTTAGTCTTTTTCTCCAAATGTGCTTTTTCATGAGCTGTTAATAACAGTGCATGCAATGCTATTATTATTGTTATGTGCAGATCTCATGGCTTTCAAAGTGCAGCTGACAGGAACTGCAATCTGTTTCGGTTTCCTTTCCCTTTTTTCTGGATGAAGAAGGTGGAGCCACGCTGTGAAGGAGGTGGCAGGATGATGATGGCAATCAGCGGATCAGCAGCTTTCGATTACCCATGAATACTTGCCTACTAGGTAGTAGTGGTACGGGGACTACTGAAAGCTGGGTCCCTTTGGAATCCGTCAGTACTTCAATGACTGACTTTCAGCAGAGCAAACAAAAAATCCTTAGTTACAGTCTGTTTATTTTCTGCCACTTCCAAATGCGAAAGACGCTCTGTCTTGCCTGCCCTCAGTGCCATATATCCACAGTAATATTTTTTGCTATGTGACACAAAAGATTCTCTCTGTGTCTTCAAAAAGTTCTAATAAAGAATTAATTCCTAAATTTCAAATTAAAGTCTGCATTAGTATGTAGTTAATGAGGAAGAGGGATGAGGGAAAGGCAGGTTCCGACAGAAACCATGTAATATGAGTGGTACAAATACTCAAAAAAAGAAGTGAACAAAGCTGGAGCTTGCATCCTTCCCTTGAGGAGGGGGGTACCAGCTGTCAATTTGAACAAGTTGAAGATGTTTAAACTGCAATTTCCTTAACTAACACAGATTAAATTAGTAAATAGTATCTGAAATACTGAAGCAGACAAGGAGAGATCTTTATTCTCATAACAAAAATTATTTCATTCATTATTACTTTGTTCTGTTATCTCAAGTTACATTTCAAGAAAGATCTCAGATTCAAATACCATTTTAGCAGTGATAAAGTTGACTCAGCCTTTTAGTCACCAATCCTTTTAAATATGATCTTTAAAACTAAAATACCGGGGCACCCTCAGAATGGTCCAGGTGTTCAGGCTCTGGGATAACCAGAGCAGTAGGGTAGCTGAAGTCACAGTAGAAGAAAAAATATGTAGACTAGTATTAATTAAAGGCTTTCTGGAATACATATAACAGAGAGAACATGAGGGGCCCAAGTAAGATACCTCTGTGCCAAGGAGTGTTTCTATTCCAATTTCTGTGCTGCTCACTAATTTTTTGGAAACAGTCAGGATATGGTTTTGCTACCAGCAAAGCAGGAGCTGGAGTCTCCTTTGAAAGCCCTTGCTTGAGTTGATTCCATGCAAACTCTCAGTCTCAATCAGTCAGAACAGTTTGGAATGGGAACACACCTTAGAAGCATCTTAAGGTGGGGTCAGGGGACCTTTCATGTAGACTGGACACATGAAATATGTGTGGGACATGGCACGTTGCAGTCCACTAGTCAATATTCAAACTTGAGTATTAAAAAGTACAGGGTAGGCAGCTGGTATTAGAAGATAATTTTGCTTTGGAAAAGCCCTTATATAATATGTTGAGGCTGAGAAGTCACAATAAAGTGGTCCTAATTAAGCTAAGAAAAATACATGTTCAAATGCAAAATTGAAATCACGCTTTGCACATCCCCCTCCAGTTATATATAGAATGTGGTTTCAGGCATGGAGAAAAAAGTCACAAGGATGACAAGTGCTTGAAACTGCTTATAATAATAAGCTTGCATTTAAGTTACTTCACTTTGTCTGCTAAGTGCCATGAAATTAGCTAGCAGCAAGTGAATTCTCAAATTGCCCCTGTTCATATCTTTTCAGAAACAAAAGTCTGTATAGAAAAAAAGGTGAAGGAAAGTGGGAAAATTAGAGGGTAAAGTATAGCTAGCGTCTGAAAAAGAAACTGCTGCCCCCCATTCAGCAGTCTGTCCTTGGCGCCTTTAAAGCTGGCAAGAATAATATTGGTTCTGCTAAAATCCATTAAAAAATGATATTCAAGATAATAAAACCTGAGGATACATTGCTGCACAGCAGGTAACAGTCCCTCATCATTTTGTGTGAAAGGAGAGCAGAGTTGCTAGAATGCTTGACTCGAGAAATTATTTTCTTTGCTGCTGGAACCAAATCCATAAGAACTATCTTTCCTTCATTTTCCAATCTTCATCCTGAATTAAAAAAAAAAAAAAGAAAATATCTATAGTGTTGTAAGACCCCTCAATCTTTTGCCGATAGACTATACTTAGCAGTTCTGAATTTTTTTTTCTTTCATGATCTGAAGTTTCTTTTTTAAAAAAAAAATTACTCTACAAAACTGTAGGTGGATGCTTAGCAAAATGCTTGTTTTGCCCACTGCCCAGCCACCAGTGGGAGTGCTAGAAGGGTAATTTGAATTATGGACAATCTGTTCAGAGCTGAACTCTGTATTTGTTACAAAGGAGAAATCTCCCAGCTCCGTCTTTCAGGCTTATGTACTAATCTTTACAGCCCAGTGGGGCAATTCAGAGATGCCCAGCTTTGTTGTGGTCAGCAGCCAACCTTTTCTCCAGCCAAGTGTCTGGTTGCAGGTCTATATAAGACAATAATTATAGTGTTAGGCTGGGCTGTGGGGGTTACTGTGTTCCTTAAAATGCTTGGAGGAGGGGAGGAAGTCCTTCCAGCTCCTGCATTGGAAGCTTTTTTGGAAGAGCTTGATTTGCACAAGCCCTGATGTTCCCTTGATGGATAGTTTGATGAGGAACTGTGATGAGGTTATGAATAGGGAATTTATAGGAGGATGCTGTGTTTGGGCAAGGGCAGTAAAAGGACAAATTCTCTGATTCAGAGGCAGCGGAGGAGGAAATACATTGTTGAAAAGAGAGGGGAAGCAGAGATGAACATGCCACCAGCTTAAGTCCTAATCTTCATGTGATACAGCATCTGACCTGCTGAGCTCTCCAGGCACGCTGGCAAGACTGACTTGCAACACATGGATGCCCCTGCAGGGGATAGCTTGGCTCAGCGCTTGGTGTTGCCAAGCCCAGCGTCTGGCCTGCCCATGTGTGGATGCTCCATGCTTCTCACAGCTAGTGATTACCAGGTTCTCCAGCTGGCTCTGGCATGCTGGCTACATCCCTGGTACTGCACTGAGATAACTTAGCTGCTCTAGGACCTGGGGTCAGCATAAGCATGGCCATGTCTGACTTCATAGACTTTGCTGGGTCTGATGCTAATCTATAACACGCCACAGTGAGTTCTGCCCCTTTGGTGTAATCTGACCACAACCATAGGCTGACTAATGGCATATTAGCATTTTACAGAGGAGAGAGAAAGCTCTGCTCTGGGCCAAGTTTGGGCTGAGAGCTACCCCTTGGCTCCCTGATTTGATCCATCACTGTGGCAATTTTCTTGGAGCTTTAGAACCTGGTCGAGATCATCCAAAACAGTGTGCTGGCTGAAGCACATCTTTCTGATGTGCTACGACCAGAACAAGCTGCTGAGTCTGAGCTCCATCTAAACTCTTGGAAATTCAATTCCAATTTTCATTTTTAGTCTTTAGGCCAAATTTTAACTTAAGGAATTTTCTACAAGCATGTGGGTAAAACAGAACCTCAGGTCTGTTTCTTTCCTGCAGATCTCTGACTCATACTTTCTCATGGGCCTCTCTCTGCTGCTGTTTCACTTCTCGCTGTGGTAATTAAGTGTATTCCTGGCCTGTGGCAAACACAGGACAAAATCCAAAGACACAGACTTTTGATGATAAACATTCCCTTCTAATGCAGTTCATTTTCTGCCTCTTATGCTAAGACCACACATGCAGTGAGGGTGAATCCGACAGTGTGTAATGCTAAGCCCGAATAATTCACTTTTGTCTCTGAGCTGCAAACTAGTAAGATGCTGCTGCTGATAAAGATGGAAAGCCAGACCCCCAAGCCTGCATGCAAGGTTTGTACACCCTCCCAGAGCTCTGCTTAAGGCACTGCTGGGACACAGAGCATATTGCTTGGCTGAAGTCTAGAACTGTCGCTGTCAGTTATTGTTAGCATCTGGCCATGTGTGTATTGTGAAATGGGGATACCTACAGGATAGTTGTCTGCTTGTTGGGATTTGGCATCTTGTAGTCCTCTGATTTGGCAGCTTCCATGGTGCTCAGCAGCATATGGCTGTTCCATCAGGCATGGGAGCGGTGAAAACAATACTTTGTGGTGCCATGGACTTGACAGCTCTTAAAACAATTCCTGATAAATGAATGTAAAAATAAATTTAGCGTACCTTTGAAGGAAATTTAACAGTTGTCTTTTGCAGTTTGGTCTCTTTTTCATTTTAAATTCGATCTCAACATACTATTTAATGCAGTATTTCACCCATATCTTCCCCCGAGTCTCTCCTCTAGATTCAATCTGCCCTGGTCTTCTTCCCAAGCTTTAGTCATTTGTATTGCTCTCCAACTACATTCTCAGTTTCTACATTTTCTTACACAGAGCACTTTGCCTAGCAGAGCAAGATATTTAGCTTTAAGCTCTGTGGCATTTATGTATCAATGCAGCCGCAGTATAAAACACAGTGGAACTGGAAATAGTTTATAACAGCCATTACTTTTGTAACTCTTTAAACTATTTCACACTTCATTTGGAAAGCTCTCCAGTGGTAGATGGCTGGAGTAGACTTGAGAAAAAACTGAAAAGCACGGCTCTGCAAAAAATATTACTGGTGAACTGCAGTTCTCATGGTTTTTCAATTTTAGAAATAAACTATTTTACACAAACCTTTGAAGAAAGTAGAACAAAAGTTTTGATGGTCAATGCCCTGAAAGCATTGAGGTGTCCTTGAGTAGTGCTAGTTAGATAAGTAAACTTATACACAGGATTCAGAATTTAAGGTTGCAGACATGGTGTTTTTTTGTGTTGCTGATCACTCATATTGTAAGCTATCATTGCAGATTTTCTATGACTGTACTGCATGTTTCTCCCGATGTATAACCCTCTATTTATATGTATGTGCTGGGTTTGGTTGCAGCAGAGTTTATTTCTTCACAGTGGCTGCTGTGGGGCCATGGTTTGAATTTGTGACCAAAACAGTGTTGATAACGCAGAGATGTTTTCATTACTGATGAGCAGTGCTGACGCAGAGTCAGGGCCTTTTCTGCCTCTCACCCCACTCCACCAGTGAGCGGACTCAGGGTGCATAAGAGGTTGGCAGGGGACACAGTCGGGACAGCGGACCCCAACTGACCAAAGTGATATCCCATAACATATGGCATCATGCTCAGTATATAAAGCGGGGGGAGGAAGAAGGAAGGGGGGGATGTTCATAGTGATGGCATTTGTCTTCCCAAGTTACACATTATATGTAATGGAGCCCTGCTTTCCTGGGGATGGCTGAACACCTGCCTGTCCATGGGAAGCAGTGAATAAATTCTGCTTTGCTTGTGTACACAGCTTTTGCTTTACCTATTAAACTGTTTTGTCTCAACCCACAACTGTTCTCACTTTAACCCTTCTAATTCTCTTTCCCATTCCACCAGACGGGAGTGAGTGAGCAGCTCTGTGGTGCTTAGTGGCTGGCTGGGGTTAGACCACAACAATATGTTGTTATATAGGTATTTATGACCCCACTACTGTGGTATTTTATGTCTGTCTGTTTGAAAAATCATAGAAGGTTCCTTCTTGTTTTTATTTCAGTATAGATACATTCTCTTATTGGGTTATAATTTTTTTACTCTCATTAATATCTGTTCAGTCTCTGCAATGAGTCAATACATTCCCATTTTCTGTGGAGAAAATATAACAAAAAATTCCCTTCAAGGTTAATATGTTCTATAAAGGTAGAAGAAGATTTGTTTTTCTCTTTTGAAGAGCTATAACCAGGTTAAGATGTTCTTCCCACCTCTTTGAGTGACTTCTGTATTTGTATTTATAAAACAATCCTATCTCAAAGATAGGCTTAAGTCTTATAACAATTAGAATCATTATTAGGGAAACAGTAAAGTTAAATTCTTTATAATCTTTTCTGGCTGAGGATTTTGGAGCACTTCCTATATTGGTATAAAGCACAAAAAGTCTGCATACAACTGATAGCTTTAAATCTTCACATTTCCTTAATTGCTACCCAGGTAAGTAGGATAATTTGCTCCAGATTTGTGGCTACTGTGGCAACCCAGAAACTGACTGGAATATTAAATTGACAGGCTGTAGCGGGTTTTATAGGCTTTACTGGATCAGAGGTTTTGCCTGAACAAAGAAACGACATGCAATACCCTGCAAAATGGATAAAAACATGAAGTGAAAGCTGGTGGGGGGGTTTTGCATTAACTTTCTTTCCTTCAAAAAAACCCTCAAGAAAATAAGGGATGCTAGGCGTGGGTTTTAGAACTGGTAGGGCACATGGAGTGTCTCAAGTAACAGCTCCTCTGGCTCTTCTCCTGCTGTAGGATTGAAAATCCAGGACCAGTTCATACCTTGATTTTCACCCATCACACAAGAAGTTTACTGTGTACTTGCTCTCCCTTTCTCCTCATCACAGAATCATAGAATGGTTTGTGTTGGAAGGGACCATAAATATCATTTAGATCCAACCCCCCTGCCATGGACAGGGATCCTTGCACTAGGTCAAGCTATTCAGAGCCCTGTATAGCCTGATCTTAAACATCTCCAGGAATGGGGAATCCACGATGTCTCAGGACAACCTGTTCCGATGCCTCGCCACCCTTACAGTAAAGAATTTCTTCCTAATATCTAATCTAAACCTACCCTCCTTTAGCTTAAGGCCATTTGCGATCCCAGTACCCAAAGCTACACTCTGATATATCTTTCCAGAGACCACAGTAAACACTATAAAATAAGATAAACTCAATAATGCTTTTTTTCCCCTATTCTTTTTTCTTATAACTTGGACTGAAACAAAGCATGTAATATAAAAACAAAGCATATAGTATAAGCATTAGGTAAAAGACAAACAAAAGTTGGTATCCTGTTCTCCCTTTCCCTCCCCCACTGGAGACTTGGCATCCTCATTTTATTTTACTTCGCCTTTATTCAATAACATGGAAACCAATTTGGCCTTACATTAAGCACTCTTTTAACCACAATAACTCTTAATCTCTCTTCAGAAAACAGATGGTAAATGTAGTGTCACCTCTACCCCTTTTGTAAACTGATTGATCTTTGCTGTACTTCATGTCCTTCTGAACTTCTGAAGGTGAGGTCATGGTCAGATGTCAGAAGAGTGCCCCCACCTGGCCTTCTGGACTCTGAGCTTTCCAGCCAAAAAGCAGAAGCGGATAAAGGAAATGATTCATGGCATAAGGGCTAGATTTGATACAGTGATTTCTCATATATGTTCAGACAAGCAGAGGTCCCTGCTTTCTTTTAAACTTGATTCTAATTTAAAGCAAATCAACTAAACAAACACTGTTTGAAGTCATCAAAGTACATGGTATAAAAATTCTGCCCTCTAGTGCTGTGAAACAGTGTGATGTCTAAGATGCACTGATTGATTTATGGGAGGGGAAAATATGTAGCCTTGCAACCCACAATTTCAGCCATTTTTATCACTTCCAAAGGGAAGGGAGGGGAGTGTAAAAGGTACTTAATTTTTGTGTATTAACTAGAGAGAAATATGATTTTGATATCTGAAACAACAGCAAAAGTTACTAAAAAAATCTTGAACCAGATAAATTGTGCAACAGCTTGTCAAAGGCACTTTGGGATAAATTGTAAATGCTACTACTCAGTCAAATAAAGAAAAATCTGAAACAACATCACTGATGGGGAATGTTATGCCATAAGTTAGGTGTGTTGTCAAAGCTTCTTTTAAGTAATAGTTGCAGTTGTGTGATGAATGCTAGTGGGGCACTGCTGCTCTCTTAGCTCCTGCCTTTGAAAGTCTGGAATTCATTGGAGAGGTGAAGAACAGTCTCACAGTCTCAGGGGCACCAGAGTATGCTGGCAGGAAGGGGAAGGATCATATTAAATAGCACCACTAAAGCTCACAGCTCTATCTTTACTAGTTTAATCTCATAAATTAATCCACATTCTCCTAGAATAAGTCTTCAAAGAGAAAGAGGTAATTGGATATAAATACTCTCCTTCCCAAACCCTGAGTTACACTGATACGGCAGCAGTCAGCTTTTGGCACTTTGATCTCTCTGCATGATTTTCATTTCCCTTTTAAGCCTTAGTCTTGGGCCTCATTGTTTCATTTCTTTTCCACAGCCAACTGTACTTTCTCTGCTTCCTAGCTTGTCCTCCAGCCACCCCCTGTGGTCCTTCCTTAAGAACATCAGACATCACCCCTCATTATTCTTTGTTGGCTGCTCTTCTCCTTGTGCTTTTGCTGCAATGAAGCCAGATGAAATGTCTGTGCCCATGTGTGCATATAAAACCCTGCCAAAAGAGATGTGAGTTTACTCTGATACATGGGGCCAACTGCTGCTTAGTGCATTTCTGGTAAATCTGCACCTCCATGGCACAGCTTCTGCTGAGCAGGAACCATGTAAACTACTCACAAAATACACCACGTAGATAAAACCCTTTGTCTTCTCCAAGTGGAACTGACATGTTTTCATCACTCTTTTGATCACCTTGAGTCTCTTAATACACTCTGAACCCTGTCTTGCCTCTTTGCTGTCATGCAAGATTGATAGCTCCTTGAGACAGCAACTGCATTTTGAATTAAGTCTAGCAAAACAGGGTCCTCGTCCTGATTCAGTGAGTCACACCTTAGGCATGACAGCAAGATGAATATGTCCAAGGAATTCCTGGTCCCTGAAAATGTAAGACTGAAAAGGAAACCAAGGCTCAGTCTGAGAGTAAGCGACCTGGGTCCATCACAAACAGTGTGACTTTGCATACTCCTTCGACAACTTTTGGGCAGACTGCTTAAATCCACAAAGTGCTTGGTGCCCTCAAGGTATGGGGTGGGACTGTCAACACCAGTGCTTTTCCCAGTAGACACCCAATGGTGTTCCACATGGAACATTTTGGTTCAAGGAAGGGATTTCATTCAAAATGCATGAGATTTGAGGTCAGCAGTCTAGAGTGAGACTTGAATAAGAACAGCTAAGACTATGCTATAAGTTTCTGGAAATGTTATCCTTGGTATCTGCTGTCAGCTCCAAATATAATAAGTACTTCTAGAGTATTTACCAAAAACTCCTGAAGAGCTGAATCAGAATAAATATCAAGTTTTTTACGAAGTTATTTGCTAAGACAGCAAAAAACTGACTTTTTTGATAAAGGCACTCCCTTCTAGTCCTGGTTTTGCGTAAACAGGAAAAATAAGAGTGTTTTCTTTCATTTTAGTGTCAGCCCATATGTCTTGGTAACTCCAAATGAAACCAGAAGAAAACAGTTGCAGCAAAGTAAGTTGAATTGTCTAATATGGTAACAATATTCTACTTGAATAACTTTAGGGTTTTGTGCATTTTATTGCTCTTGCAACTTTTATCCTCATTTTTACAATGGTTTTGTATGTGCAGCTGTGACGGTAAAGTCAGTACTATGAGCATTCTCCATCATGACGTAGCTTTTCCGAAGATTGACTCCTCATCAGGCTACACTTCATGCAGAATAAATCTTGTTCCGGAGAAGGGTTGTGGTAATTTCAGTGCTGGAGCTGTTCAAGATGGCTTCTACAAAACTACCGGAATTAGCTCTATCCAGCTTTTACAGGACTGAATTCATACTGGAGAACCCAACTTTGAACAGTCTCTGGGTCAGTAGGAAGAAGAAAACATATAGATAAGAAATATTTTTGAAAATATTCCCATGAGGAAACAAAAGTAACTACAGCCACTGTTGGTTCTTGAATCTGCATTGAAGGTTCTAGGTGGCCTTTTCAGTGAAGTTGGTAAAGGTCATTATAGATGGAAAGTATCTGTATATATACACTGACTTTTTCTTGGCTTTGACTCTTGCAGGTGAAAGTAGCTAAGCAGGAACACCCTGAACCTCTACCAGAAAGATCTTTCATTGGCAAAGTTACAGCTAGAGTCAGTCAGTTTTGAAATAAATTCTGTATGCAGAGGTGACTGAGCACTGCAGTCCTGCACTCCTGGCCATTGATTTATGCAAGATATGAAAGCTGAAGGAGTGTGAGTCAGCACTTCTCACATCTTGAGCCCTCAAGGAAACAATTAAATTAAATCCTTCTCAAACTTCGTGAGTTTGGCTGAAATGCTTCACTATCAGGCTAGTATGGGTTATGGGTTGGGTTTCCTTTAGCTGCAAGAAATAAAATTGACTTATCTTGAACCAAACCATAATCTTCTGGAAGGATGAATAGCAGCAGATCATCTTAGACTCGCCTGTGACATTAACAGCAAAGGTGCTGCTACTCTAATAAAGATCTAGTTTCACTTTGTGCTAGCAGCATGTAAGGTCTGAAGCATGCCAAGTATTTACATTTTGGATACTGGCAGAAATAGGACCTAGTTGAATGCAATCTCTACCTAAATGTTTGTTTTAAAGGTGAAATAAAAAGCTGATGTCTCTTTGGGGTCTCTTTAGAAACTTGCTCACGTACTGGCTTTATCCTCTAAGAGGACACCTGGTGTTACTGTCTGATAGCCATAGCCAGTCATTAGGAAATATGATTACTAAGAGTGAAATGAGCTCCTAAAGCAACTGAAGTGATAATGTAAAACACAGGTTTTGTTGGGCTTGCTATTGGAAGGAATTGTTTTTCTTCCTCTGGCAGTTGATAAAGAGCGAAGTTAAATCAACCAGCCATTCTAGGGCATATGGCTGGCACCCTGTCTGTGTTGTCTTCCACTGACTACACTGGGAAATTGCTGCCCATCTCACATGTGGACACCTATGTTGAAGTGTCTTAATCTGAACCTGATTCATGCATTCCTCTTGCTTTTATTTAAAGAGCATGTGGTTGGGAGGGAAAATTACTTCTCATTTCCCTGCTGGGGAGCATTATATCACAAACATTTCCCTCCGTGCAGCAGTAACATCTTAATTGTAACAACTTCTGCTTTACCTGCAGGACTAAATAATGTGGCTTTTACCTACAGGTTTCCAGAGGTTAAAAAGCAGTCTATTAGCAGTCCTTTAGCTGTTTTTTGTTTTGCTTTTGGGGTTTAGTCCTGGGGTTTGCTCACCATTAGAGTCTCGAGGTAGGGAAAACATTTGCCTTGTTAGCTGATCATTGCAGTGACTGAGTAACATCTTGGGGGATGTCTGCACCCCTTGAGAACAAGTTTGTTCCTGGATGGTCTTCAGGATTACATGTAATTAGCAATACTGCATGCTTTTTAGTATTCTCTCTAACTTCCATATATTTGTTTCTTTTTATGCCTGCTCAGTTGCTAAGAAAGAGCTAGATGACCTGGAGCGGTGGAAGGAAGAGCACAGGCCAGGGCCGATCACATTGATTCCACAGAGATTGGGTAAGATGTGAATCAGCATTTGCACATTGCAAAATTTTGTTTTACAGAACATGAGGCATTTTTCACTTTTTCTCTCATGTTACCTATTAAAGAGATTCAGTATCAATAAGGGCTAACAGGAGCCTACTGCAGGTTCTCTGTGCTTCTTGATGGTCGTGGCAATGAATATGTTTCTCAAACAAAACAGCATAGATTGTCACTCAAGAAATATGCTGAGATTAGAGTAGAAAATCTGTGCTGACATTTGGGTAAAACAGGTGGATTATCCCTCCTGCTGTTGACACTGTCTTTGGTTGATGTCTCTGAGGGGGCACACATTTGCCGTTAGTATGAAGATGGACAGCACATGTTGGAGACTCTCCAGTTGCCCATAGGAATACTCCTCTGTCTTAGGGGCTAGTATGTGTGCTTTCATGACTGCTGGCTCTTGAAGAGGCAAGAGTGATCCCTGCAGCTTCAGCATTTGTAGGCTAAATGTGCATGAAGCTCTGTATTACCAATTTTATAAAAATAACAACAAAGATAAGTAAATGAAAAACAGGATAAAAAGCTACAAGAACTGAAGTCCCTGTGAACTGATGTGTTTGTGAAGATAATCAACATCTTTTCTAGACAGGTTGTGGCGTTTATTAATATAATAAATAATAAACCCACATGAACCCGTTGGTTGAGGGTTCAAACAATCAAATCTGTTTATTGGAAGCAAACAACACCCTTTATATGCACTTTAAAACAACACGTGATTCTCTTAACCAATCACCATGTGGTACCACAATGCCCATGTGTGTAGGAGTACATTCGGGACTTCATCTCCCAGGATGCCCCTTCCACCATCCTTAAAACACGCCCCCTACAACATGCGAGAGAAACTGTTATCTCTTCAATTGCAACCACTATAAAATATTTAATTTAGTCATATTTCAGAGTTACTTTAAAAAAGAATTAGAAGACAAAACCAAACCAACTCAACCCAAAAGAAATCTTGTTCAGAGAATAGAACTGCTGATTGTGCTGAAGCAAGAGGAATGTTATTAGAAGTGTTTTTCAAGTACCAGTCTTCAGACCTATCTTGTTTCAGTATCTTTCTTTAATGTCTTTGGCACTAAAGCTAGGAGAAAGCTGATGAAACTTGCTGACAAGACGACTTTAAAGCATCATCTGTATAGACTATGATGGGATGACCTTGAGAAACTGACTAATAAAAATCAGGCAAAATTAATTCTAGCAAATTGAATTATTATAACAATGCCTTTATTAGTTTTATAAACCTAGAACTGCCCTTCCTTCCCTTGGCTATCATAGGAGAATCTGGGGTGCACGGTGCAGGCTATTGGCTACCTTGACCTGCAAATTGAGTTCTTTCTTTGCCATACTACACATGATAAATTTGCAGTGGGATAATGTGTATAAAAATAGATAGCAGGTGGGACATAGAGGAATTTGAACTGACTCCAACCCAGACTTGGTTTTTAGATCAAGGTGATACAGGTCCCACATATTCTGCCCTGCAGCCTGAGTCAGTTTGCTGTGGTGGTAATGCCCTGTATTCCCACCATCACGGGCAGTCATGTGGCCAGACATGGTCTTTGTGAATTCTTGCATATCTGCTTCTTGCTTGTAAGTCATTCCTAGAAGACATGCTTCTGTCACAAGAGGATCACAAAGCTTTTTGCTGAAGAAAGTGAAATCTGAAAACAGAAATTTGGTGTATGGTGTCTATGTAGAATGTGTGCGGGCTGGCTGCGTGACTGAGGATGTGGTGTCAAAGCTGCAGGGACTGGTTGTGGGGAGCCTTACCTTTTTCTGGGCCCATAGCATTTAAAAACTTTCTTGAGGAAGAAGCAAATTAAGAGAAGGAAAAAAAAAAGTAAGAAAATATGATCCCTTTGGTCATTGTCTAGCTGCAACTTAGACTCCTGGAGACTGAAACAGTATGTTCAGTGCCTCTGAAAAGAGGTAATGTGCAAAGATTATTAGATCTTATCATTCCCATGGGAACAAATTTGGAGCTGAAGCGAGCTCAAGGAAGGAGAAAAAGATATAAGTGGCATCTCTAATTTCACCACTGTAGGTACTCATTAAGGTAAAAAAGTATCATGTGTTTTTTCTCAGAGTGATTTTAAGAGATTACACATCTAGTCTAAATCACCAGAGAATCCTTGAAGTTTCTTAACACTCATGCTTTCCATAGGGAAATAAGTATTCTGGATTTCAGCTCTGTAATATTTGACTGGCAAACTTGCAGGCACCATGGAGAGATGAGAGCAATGAAGGATGCAAGTTCTACCCTCCTTCATAAGCAATGAGTGAAGCAACAATTCATGCCTGATAAAATGGTCTCTTTTTTGATCATATCATATACAGCCAGTCACTACATACTCTGACTTCAGCAAAACATTTGACACATTACAGCCAAACCTTGAATGAATTAAACCTGGCTGAAAGGCTATAGGCTATAGCTAATAATGATCAGAAAAATATTTGTTTAGAGATGATGCTCATCACTACATGCAAAAAAAAGTACAGTGCACACAGGAAATATTGCCAATAAAAGGCTAGAAAAAAAACAGAGATCAAGCATCCAAAAGGTTTAAAAACTTGTTTAGTAGCCATTTTATTTTCTAGACCTGTGAAGGAGTCACTCCACTCAATGCTAGCTGTATGCTTATTGCTACTCTAAGCTTGTTGTCTGTATCCTGTATGGCCAGTCTTTTTTGAGGACTTATCCTACAGATTTATTTCTGTGCGTAGAAATGTTGCCACAATTAGGGAATTGATCTCCCCTTCACTGAACCTCACAAAAGCACCTAAAGATTAGTTACCTTCCATTAGTAAGTGGAGGAAGCTGCCTTTAGAGAAGAGTGATCCCTTCTGAAAGATCTAGTATATTTGTCTTACATTTCATAGAATGGCTTGGGTCTGAAGGAACCTTAAATATCATGTAGTTCCAACTCCCCTGCCATGGGCAGTGATGCCACCCACTAGACCAGGTTGCTCAAAGCCCCATCCAACCTGGTTTTGAACACTGCCGGGGGTGGAACATGCACAGCTTTGCTGGGCAACCTGTGCCAGTGCTTCACCACCTTCACAATGAAAAATGTCCTCATTATATTTAATCTAAATCTCTCTTCTTTTGGTTTAAAGCCACTCCTCCTTGTCCTATCGCTACATGCCCTTGCAAAAAATCCCTCTCTAGCTTTCTTCTAGGCCCTCTTAAGGTACTAAAAGGCTTCTAGGAGGTCCCCCTGGAGCCTTCTCCTCTCCAGGCTGAACAACTCCAGCTTTCTCAGCCTGTCTTCATAGGAGAGGTGCTCCAGCACTCTAATTGTCTTCAAGGCCCTCCTATGGACTCACTCCAGCAGGTCTATGTCCTTCTTATGTTGGGGACTCCAGGGTTGGATGCAACACTCCAGATGGGGTCTCACAAGAGTGGAATAAAGGGGCAGAATCAACCTTACTTGACCTGCTGGCCATGCTGCTTTTGATGCAGCCCAGGATATCAGGCACGTCAGGTTGCACAGACTGGTGCAGCTGCTTCTATAGTTAGGAGGCACAAAGAGGAGAATTTCTCATTAAAACACTAAGGGAAAATACACTCCCTACCCTCCGAATGGAGTAAGAATTGCTGTTGATTTTCAGAACAACTGAGGGAATGAATTATTTCCTCTCCCAAAGCAAGAAAATACTTTGGAAAATAGTAGAGCAGAATAATAAAATCAAAGTCCTCCATCCCTTAAGCCCTAGTATCAAGTTCTTTATGTGGTTAGGTTTTTGTTTGTTTTGTTTGTGAGTTGTTTGTTTTTATTGAATGCTGAACATTATGGCCAGAGCTTTAGATGTTCTCAAAAGAGAGGCCATGCCTTTGAATGAGGACACCTTCTGCTATCTGGATATGAATGTGAGGTTTGTGGGAAAAGGCTTTGACTTCCATTTCAGAAAGGGGATTCTTCCTCGAGCGCCAAAACGTTAGTTAGAAAATATTAAAGTGATAGCATCCCATTAGAGCTGGCAGAGTCCAAGATCCTAAGTTTGATAAAAGATAAACTTTTTGGTAATAGAATTTCTGACTCTGTATGTGTGTGACAAACTGAGCGAAGGTGGGAATAGTTGGATTGAAAAATGAAAACTCACCTGCAAAGCATGACTGATTTTCTGAAAATGGAATAGTTCCTCAGTAAACTGATCATATACTGTAGAGACATATTTGTTGGTAGAGTGGGTGATACAGTGGATGCTCTGTAAATAATAAGCAAGTGCTTTTGATGGATGAATAAAATGATCAAAAAGGTCTCCTCTCTGTTCTCTTTAATATCAGACAGCTACTGTAATTATGAAAAATTTCCTGTATAGGCATACATCCAATCTGTTATATTCCTATGTTCCAAAGTGACTGGTATTGGCAGTTAAAATGTTCATAAAAAATGCAATTTATATGTTTGGGTTTTTTTAAGGTGGAAAGGAATCAGAGGCTCAAGCAAGGCAAAACCAGCAAATGATGCTCATGCAATCTAAATACCAGCAAAAGGTCGGTAAGAATAAATTTGTTTGTTTATTTTTAGAATTCAAAAGAAAGCTTTTCATGAAGTATTTCTTATGACTATAAACTGAACCCAGAGATGCTTGACAGAAGAAAGTTATGAAACCTGAAGGAAGCAGCAGGAAATCAGAAACAAATGTTCTGCACCAAAGAAAATAAGAAATCTGTCCATAAATATGTAGAAATCTGTATCACAGATGATATAGAAAATAATAACCAGTACGGTTGTAAAGCCACTTATATGCCTTGTCGTATCCTTCGGCATGCTGCCTACACTTCAACTAATTGATCAATGTACCACCCTAAACTGTACTTATGTAGAAATGTTGTTTCTGTTATAAGAGGTATAAATGCTTGTAAGTTATCAATCAGCTGTGTGATTCCTTGCATGGATGCCCATTTATCAGTCCTAGATTTCTCAGCCTTCTTAAAGACAATATTGGAGTAGCTGTTGCACAGCCTGCATTATTTAGTGTCTCATTTTAAGGGAAAAAATTCTGGAAACTTTCCCCAAACACACTTTAGATTTGAAAAATATACAGTACAGGAGCCGTTACCTTATGCATTCCTTGTATAAATACATATGTAAAATAATTTTGTATTTTTTTGTCATGCAGCGTAAGAGAGAAGAATATGTAAAAGCAAAAAAGGCAGCTGAAGAAGCTGAAATCCTGAAAAAGAAAGCAATTCAGAGAGAAAAGGTAAACCTGGTTATTGCAGAGTTAGAGCCATATAACAGAGTTCATGTCTTGATGCTTGATTTTGCTGAACTACAGGGAAGAGGCTAATTAAATTAAGTGGTAACCCCAGATGGCATCAAGGAATTAGGAAATCCAGTCCTCCGCCTCTTTGTAGCTCACTAAAGGGTGTCTGACCTGGTGTTCTTTGGAGCTTGAGAGTTCCTTGGGCTCTTCAGAAGCTCCAGCCTTTCAGTTGCATCCATCCTGAGGAGTTAGCAGAAAGGTAGAACACTAAGGTCAGGAGTAACATTGTGTATGCAGGTTACATGGTTCACTTTGACATGAGCTTTCTCCTATAAGATCAGATTGTGGAAGATGGCACAAAGACCTTATAAAATCTATAATTGCTTGTGCACACGGGAAGAATACTAGAAAATCTGGCCTGTTATGGTGGAAAAGCCATCCAAATCATGAAAAGGTCAGTGTAGTCTATCTGCATTGGGCTGAGAGCACCATGAAGTTCGAATGGCCCTCCAGCCCCTCTGGGGCTTGCACACACAAGTGTATTGCTAATGTCAGAGCACTTTTCCTTCTAATATTCTCCATATACTGACACCAATGATAGCTCAGTTTCAAAATTTCTTTTATGATTTTGCATTTGTTTTCTTTTTCTAGTTATTCTCACAAAGCATCTTCTCATCCTTTGTGCTGCAAAACTTTTGTAAAAGTTCATTTGTGTCTCCTTGGTGGCAATCAAATAGTGCTCAAGAGTGCAGTGTTGAATTTAAATGAAAAAAGAAAAGAGGGGAAACATGATACAGATGTCCACAATAACAGGGAGAGAAAGGGAGATTTAAGGTTTGCAAGTTTTATCTCTACAACAGTAAAAATGATTTTCTGTGCAGAAACTGAATCTTGAAAATTAATTAAAAAATAATCAATACTGGTTGGCGTAAAAGGGCATGCATAAACAAAAATAACTGTAATTGCCTCCAGGTAAGGGTTAGTCTGTTCTCAGTCTTTCAGTGGTTAGCATTACTCTTTGGGGATAAACCCATACACAATAGCTCACTGAGGTTATAAATGCTATCATGGGAAAATGTCATTGATGGTTACCAGCTCATGTATAGTTCCAGAAGCTATAGAATGAGGATAGCAATGGTAGACAGGGGTTTAATTATTTAATATATGGTGTTTGCCCATGGGCATTGGACAAGAAAAATGTTACAGGGCTGCTATATATAATTTCTAGTTACACCTAAAAATATATTGATGTATCAGTTTTGTTTTCATACTCTTTAATTTCCTTACCTTCACTCCCACAGATTATAAAATCTTTATAGATGTTGGAGATAGTAAAACTTCTAAAGGAGGATGAAACATAATGGCAAACATCTTTGCCAAACAGACTGTCTAATTTGACTAAATAAACATATACCCAAAAGCAATCAAATAAAACAGAGGAGCATGAAAGGGAACTCTTAATTTGAAGTTGTTTATTCAGATTGTCTTCCACAATAGTGATTCAGCTGATAAGATTTCTTCTTGGAAGATGATTATGTATTAAAAACTCAACCTTGTTTTTAAGAAGAGCATGCTGGAAAGCCACTTAAAGGTATCAATTTGTCTATCTCACCCTACCTGCAAATGAAAGGCTCCCAAGAGCTGAGGATGAGAGGAGTCTTAGAGAACTGGTACAGTATCACCAATGTTCGCCTTTGGTTACCACAAGAAATAAGCTTTTTATTTGAAGTGATAGATCTGTATTCAACTGCACCTGCAGTGCATCGGCTGAGAGCCGTTTTTCTTGCTGGCCAGTGCTTCTTTTGCTCAAGGTTATTATTCATTCAATAAAAACCAAATTGTCTGACAGTCTGAAGGGAGATAATGGCTAGACAGCTTTATCAGCAGGAACCCTGGAACTTTCACAGCTGGAAAGCTACTTTGCCAAAAAACGTGAATGGTGAAGCCCTACAGACTAATGTGCTATGACTAGAACGGGTGCTGATACTCAGCTCAGTTCTTCCTTGATTGTAAGAACAATATAAGCCAGTGCTGCCTGTGAACCTAGGATCTGTTTATGTTTCTGCTTTAATGCTGATTTTGCAGAAAAAACAGCACCCACTTTCCAATTGTCTTTGTGGACGGAGAAAACTGTGTGTCTGCCAAAGCAGTATCCAAATGTGGAAGGTCTGCCTTACCATATGTAGGAGTCCACCTGCCAGTCTTTGTCATTCTTTAATTAATCTTGAGGTTATTAGGTGCTGAAATACCAATGCACTTGGCATCTACCTTGTCTCTTTCCATCTCTCAGAGAGAAGGAAGATTCTTTATTCTGTGTTCCACAGGACTGATTTGTGTGAACAGATACCCAAGTCTCCCACATGCTCTGTGAGAGGCAGCTTGTCCTGGGACTGCTGTGGTTTGTTCATGGGGTAACCATGGGCTGCATGAGTTTGAGTATTCTAAGGTAGTGATCTCTCAGTGCTCACTGAAATAATTTGAAAAAGAGTTTGTAATGTTGGCAGGAAGTTCCCTATTTCTGTTTTTGTCCCCAGTGCTGAGATGTGTGCCTGATCTGCAGAAAGTGTGGATGTACATGGGAAGTAGTTTTTTTATTAATTTCTCATTCGTAGTAAGTATTTGCAGTTTGGTATCTTTTGTGTAGCCCTTCACATCACAGATTTTGACCAGACTAAACCATAATTTCCTTTGTGTATTTTGGGTGAAAGGACTGTCAAAGTTCTCCCAAAAATAAGACAGTGGCTGAGATTTGGCTTCTTGTTTTTTAAACTTTTGGAATTTGTGCTGCACATAAAATAGAACAACTTTAGTGCACTGGGTATTTCTATTTGCTGTCATTCAATTTCTGTTGCTGTTACCCTGCCTTTGGCCTTTCCTTGTATGCTCTAAGTCTTGACTGAATTCCAGTTCATACAGCTTTTTGCTCTTACCTTACGCAACTTGTTGCTCTTACCTCACACAGTAAACAGTCCTGTCATCTTTAGAAACTGTATTATTTAGGATAACCTGTAATTTCATTTTATTTTTTATCAATTCATGTGCTTTTTATTTGACTGTGTTAATCAGCATGAATGGCCTTTTTTTCCAGGAATTTGTTAGAACCAGACACTTTACAGACCTTCTGCTAATATTTTTCAACATGTTTACCTTCAGTGTCACAGCTGTTCCGCTCTTGGCTTTGTTTTTGAAGATGCTGCCAAATGTACAGTGCTTTGGCAATGTCTACTGATAGATTGTCGTTAGTTAGAGAATGTTCCAGTCCTGTTGCCTGCCACTTGTATGCATCCTAAGCAGGGGTCCCAGGGTAAACTTCCAGAGTAAAAAATAGTCATGTCAGCCACAAATGAATAATTTCAAGATGCTGGGGTTTTCTTCAGGTACCATTCTGGTGGTAGAATAGCTGTAGGATATCCTGTTTGGTTTTTTTCTAGTGGGAAACAGAGATGATACTGAAGGTTTGTATTTATCAAAATTAGTATCGCTGTGTTTTTCTGGCTAGGAGCTAGACCACAACAACTCCCATGAGCTTTGGATTTGAACTTTCAGGGGCCTTGCAATATGGTGGCAGATCTCACACCCAATGTTTTTTCAGAGGGGTAGGAGTCAGCTTGCAGTGTTGGGCAGTGTTGGGAAAAAGTCTGGAAGCTATGGCTGATGTCTTGAGAGTATCAGCATCACCTTTGACTATAACAGAAGCCAGATTAGATTTCCCTTCTACCTCTTTCCTTTCTTTTCCTGTAAATTGTAGTTACATAAATAGGTGGGAGTCTTTTTGCCTAAAAAATCATCCCTCTCTGGGGGGAGTGGTTAGGAACAAACAAGATATCCCTTAAACACTCTCAAAGTTTACCTATACTGTGCAGTCATGCTCCTCACTGCAGTTTGGTTAAATTTTTTAATTGCATCAGTACATCATACATTCTACCACTGTCTCTGGATGTCAAATGACTGAACAACAGGACATCTTATTCAGAGATTCATCTTTCTCCTTTTGTTTAATTTTCCACTGCCTTTTTCCAAACAAAAACTTCTGAGTCATTTGCCTTCCAGCAGTTTATATCGTCACACAACATAGTGGCTCTTTTCCTGTTTGCAAATATCTGAAAGGATTTTTTTTCTTAATCCAATACATGTGAAGGAGGAATTTGCACTTGTTTTGCCAATCTCTTCCAAACAGTCATTCTTTACCCAATTAAAAAATACCCTTAAATCACTGAAGGCAAAGTAATTGAGTAACTGCCAGCAGAATTGTAATTTTTCTGAAACTTTTTTGATTGCAGGAAAGGAAGAAGATTATAGAGTTCGGGGTTTCAGTCCTATTCTTAACACCTCTGCCCAGGTAGAGTGTCCTCTCCCTGATTTGGGGGTCTGGCCATTTTCACCTACACCACCCTTCTCACCTCTGCAAAGTATTGTCTGAAATTTCCACAGCACTTTGTTCAGAGGAATGGCTGAAAATAAAAAAATATTCTTTTTCCTTTTGAGGGGCGGTGACAAGCAGAGTGATAGTCCAAGTCTGTATTTTGCTCCATATGCAAGTTGCCGTGATCCTTGGCTAGGAACTCTTGCAGCCCCCCCCCCCCCCCCCAGCTACAGTGTGGGAGCTTGTGCTCAAAATATAGCAGGCTGAAATCTCAGGTTGGCACTTCCAATTTGTGCTTTTAATACACTGATCTGCCTTTTGACTGCTCTTCACATGTGACCTAACTGCAGCCTGCGAACCAAAGCAAAGATTTGGCTGGCCTTCTTTTGACTGGAGTTTAGGTTGAACTACACATTGCTGTTGCAGCAAGTTCTCTGGTTTTTGCTTTTATTTTAATGTTTTATTCTACTTGAATTTGGGGCTTGGGCATCTTATATGATCCTTTCACTGGAAATTATGTGCAATTTTGTATTAAAGGACTTAATCACTTGTGGTATCCAGATTTTAAAAGGAGTTGTATGTGTCAAGGATTTGGTTGACTCTTATACTGGATATGGTATCTGAGGCAGAATAATGCTGGTTAAGTACCAATGTCTCCCACTTTCGTCCATCTTAGCACGTATTCAACTGGCCAGTACCTAATGCCCCTGAAGGTCAGGTCTATGAGCTACACGTACTCATATCACTGCACTGTCAGTGCTACAGGATTATCCTCTGCTTTGGTGTGGTGGTTTGGGTCCTTCTTACTAGGACCAATGTTCCAAGAGAGGTCCCCAAGCAGAGTTGTGATATGAGAACTGTCAAGGCTTACAAGGTCCTTTAGGTACATGGATCTACGAGGAGCACCATGTCATTTTCTATTTTAAACAGATCTCTTGACTAGGAGATGTTTGGTCATATCTGATTACTTTTAAATTTGAAATTAGGTCACTTTTGTACCCAACTGCTGCCATAGATCTTTCAAAGACCAGAATATTAAAATACTGGAATTGAAATAATCAATGTTTGTTTCTCATTTATTGGAAACATCAAATATGTTTTCCTGTTTTTAATACTGTAGGCAGAGAGACTTGAAGTTAAAAAAAGAAAAGAAGAAATGCAAAGAAGAGAGATGTTCCTTGAAGATCAAAATTAGTAAGTAAAATTTGAAAATTATTACCTTAAATTCCTCATCCGTTTGTCCTTCTTGTTTGTTTGTTTGTTGGGTTTTTAATTATTATTTAATATTATTTATTTGTCTTTTTTTTTCCTGGTTCGGGGCTCAGGAAGGGCTTCTGTTGCTATTTTTTTCAATTTTTGACTTGAAACTTTTGATTTCAGGACAAGAGTCAGAAACTGACACGCAGGAGGTTCCTACTGAACATCAGGAGACACTTTTTTACTCTGAGAGTGACTGAATATAAGCACATGTTATCCAGGGAGGTTGTGAATTCTCCATCCTTGGAGATATTCAAAAATTCTGGGCAGCTGTCTCAAGGTGGCCCTGTTTGAGCAGGGGGTTGGACAAGATGACATCCAGAGGTCCTTTCCAACCTCAAAGATTTTATGATTCTGTGAAATATTCCAAGCCTCCTCCACACCCTATTCTGTGAGAAATTTGATTCTGTAGACTTCTCTTAGCTTCCTAAAACACACACTTACAAATGAAAGCTGATCATTCAGTCCAAGACTAATTATTGAAACAGGATTTAAATTACATCTCCACCCATTTATTTTATTGACTAGTAAAGAAATCTAACCTACATGGAAATAATGAGGACTTCCTATATTTAGCATACTTAAATGTAGAGATTTGTTGTGAAGACCTGTTTCCCAGGAATACCTCCTTAATATCAGATTTAGATACAGCTTAAGTCCTGGTATAATTAATTCCATTGGCAGTGAAGTTCCTGCCTTACCCATTCACTCTACCCTATTTATTTATTTTTAACTGGTCCAAACTGATTTTATCACATAATTAACACACAATACTGTTTAGTCACCTTTACCTTTTTTATCTTAGGCTTCTGAAATTACTCACCTGTATGTTTAGCCTGATTGATTGTTTTTTCCCTCCTCTGTGACCTTTAAGGGAGTCACTTTTTTCCCATGCTGGTAGCTCCAGTTTCTTCACCATTTGCCCAGACTCTGTTCTCTAATGCACAGACATTTTAGTACTTTGTCACTCATCTCAGCCTTTCTTGTATTTTATTTTTGTTTCTTTGCATTTGACTTCAGGCACAGCTCTTTCCTTTAATACGTTATCAGCATTTGTCTCTAGATATTGGTGTTTTGCTTGCTGTTTGTTCTCGGTTTGTCCTGGTGTGGATTTTCCCACACACCCCTTGATTCCTCAGGATTTCTGAAGACCCTTCATAACTTTAGATCTTTGCCTGTTTCTGACAGACTAGACACTTTCATTCTCTTTGGGCCTAAATCAACAACAGACACATCAGGTCTTTGCAGTGCAAGGTCCTCAGTTACGGGGCCTTACTTCTTCCTAAGGGAATTGTCAGGGTTTTTATCTTCTAATTTAATATAATTTTTTGTCTTAAGGTATATTCAGTTATGAACAGAGACATATCTTTTCCTTTCCATCACCTTCTCTGTCTGTACCTTTTTTTGCTTAGGGTGAAATGAATTCTGATATTCAGAGATTTTTCCATTAAAAGTAAGTTCGGTTTTGCCAAAAGCAGGTCCAAACCCTCCGAAACACAGGACAAATGGAAATGACCACAAGTGAAAAATTTCTTCACCAAAAGGGTGGTCAAGCACTGGAACAGGCTGCCTCAGAGAAGTGATTGAGTCACCGTCCCTGGAGGTATTTAAAAGATGTAGAGACATGATTTAGTGCTGGACTTGGCAGTGCTGGGTTAACAGTTGGACATGATGATCGTAGAGGACTTTTCCAACCTAAATGACTCTATGTGGGCAGTCAGGTAGTCCCCAGGTGGTGCAGGAGCTCTGGCTGCCGGAGCACTGAGAAGTGGACTGGCTGGCAGCTGTTCTGTCCACTGATTAAGGAAAGGCTTGGGAGCATTCATCTTTGGAAACTAATTGACTGATGCAACTGAACATAAAGATGGACTGTCGAGCTCCATTGCTTGAGATTATGTAGAACTATCAGAACATTATTTGTATGTACTATGTATTGAACATACACCAGAAGGGCCCTGTAGCTACTACTCCTGGAGGAAGTGAACTGAAAAACTACCTACACTAAATGCAATTTTGGTTAAGCAAAAACCTTCCATGCTGTACAGTGTTAAGGAAACTTCCCTGTCCAACCATCCAGGAGTTACTCTGGCAGTCACTCCTGCACTACCTGAGCTGGGACCAAAGCCCCTTCACAGCTACATACCCCAGCTCACACAGTCAGACCAGGTTTCCTTACCAGCTTGACCCCAGTCTTCCCATAGCACTGTCTCAGACATCCAGATTCTTAAAATAATTTAATCATGATGCAATAACTAAACAACAAAATACCAGCTTGACCTGGTGCCTCTGAGGAGGGATCCTGAACATGCAAAGTGTCAGCAGTTCATGGCTTCTTGCCTCAGGCTTGAGCTTCTGCCACCCAGAGCTCAACCTGCAGCTCTCACTGCAGCTGCACACCAAGCTACCTGCACTGAATGTATTCCTCAAGATATAGAGTGACACTAGTGTCTTCCCTGTTCTGAAGGAATCCTCTGGTGAGCAGAGGAAGGAGAGTCTGTGCCACTGGATGTTGCTGAGGATGCATTGCTGAGATACACTGCCATTATGAAGCACGGCATCCAGGAGTAATGGAAAGATTCTGTGTGACATTTCAGGTTCTGTGAAGTAACTCTATTGAAGTACTGCATGTTCACATAGAAATGCTTGGTATTAAAAGTCATGCTATGCAAAAAAAAACCCCTACTATGCAAAAATGAGTAACTCATTACTTGCATCATCTAATACCCTTTGTCTAGAGGCAAAGAGAACAAATGCAAGGTTGTGCCCCTTTCTTTGCTGTCTCTGTTGGAGTATTTTGATCTCCTTCTCTGCTTGCTGAGAGATGGGGGAAGGAAGGTCATGTGCTGCATATAAAGCAGTGACCTCTGCAAAGTCATGGCCTGTAGAGCCATTTCAAAAGGTAAGCTCCCTTGTTAGTCTGTCCTCTATAAGACCTGTAGCTGCAACATCACAATTTTCCTGAGGAGATCAATGCCTACCAGCACTCTCATTAGCTGGAAAACCTTTTAAAATTGATCACCACCTCTAGCCATATCAGCCTCCAAGGGCTACAGCCCAATCAGTACCTCTCCTGCATGAAGTGCCGCTTCTATTTGATAAGGAAAGGCACTTAAGATTCTCATGTCATTAACATACTATGATGCTGTCTAGAATTTTGTATTTCTGTTTAAATTCTTATCACTATTAAAACCAAGAACTTCTCAATGAAATCTCTTTTCAGAGGGTCTAACATGAAGTGCTAAAAAGAAAAATGGTCTGCAACTTTTTTTGCTGTCTACAGAATACAGTTATTTTCTATGTTTGAAAGCCTTGTAAGCTTCTTTGGACTTTGGATTGACGAAGTTGCTGCATATATAGGAAGTGATTGCTACAGTTTGTGCTAACAGAGAAGAAGCATATGAGGGATTTGTTGGTCATAATGTTGCTGTGGTTCTGTCCTGGCAAATGCCAGATTTAGAAAATGGGAAGTGTGTGTCGACTTTCTACCAGAAACTACTTACCCATGAAATGGAGTCCTTCATTCTGAGTCATGACATCTTGGATACATTTTGCATTATGGGCCTGATTGTGTTTCTGTCAGGGTGCATGAAAAGGTAGTGAAGGCTTGTATAGTCCATACTTTGGAATTGCTGATCCATGTGAGGGAAGAACTGACTGTCCATCTTTCCAAATGGAAACAAAGAAGAGGACTTTTCAGGACATCCGTCTTTAATTAGTACACTGTCATTTAAACAGTAATGAGGATGGGTATCTCATGACTTGCTTTTCTCAGCTGCGTAGCTGCGTGAATCTGTGTTTGAACTCTAGGGTATCTCACCATACAGCTTAATCTAGTAAGATGCTTTTATTTAATTTGTATTCTACTTTTCAAAAACTGTTGTGTTGGATGTGGTCCACTGTTTTTCTAATAGTCATCTACCTATTTATGTAATGGGTAAAGCAGTCTAGAACATAGGTTACTTTCTAATAGTATATGATGACTGTTGTGTCACTTCATCCTTCACTTTGTTACATATTCATGCCTCTGTTTTTGTGAAGGTCGTACTCCTGTAAAAATTCTTGGCACTGCTGCACTCGGGTACATGTGTGGACTCAATATATTCTGCTCAGAATTTGGAACTGGAAACAGAATTTGCCAGAGTGCCTGTAAGTGCATATTCCAAACACAATGCAGGAGGTTCACCAAACCAAGTTGATATACACTTGCCTGCCAAAGCAGTTTTCTCAAAAGTCATAAAATGCAAGAGAATAAAACCTGAATCAAAACAGAATTTTTATTTATTTATCTATTTTTACAGGAGGAATACTAGTGTCCTTGCCAGTTTTCAGTCCCTTATGATGTGTGGTTCAAACAGCAGGCTGGCAAGAGATTTTCCCCACAGAAGTACAAATGTAAACCTGACCAGACTTTTGATATAGGTTGCTAGAGAGAATGAAAGAGAGCTCACACAAAAAGGGTTTGCAGCCTTGAGAATCCTTTGTTTGCTTCTTTTCACCACAATTGTCTTTGTTTTGTTCATTTGCTCCTGATTATTTTAAGCGTTGTCAATTATTTAGCTAACAGGCAGAAAACTAGGCTTTTATAGACATCCAAAGGGACTCTCTTGAGTGTAATAATGAAGGCAGTTTATTGAACGCCTGTGAGGTTGCTTTCTAATTGTACACATTAATCTGCCCATGCAAGCTGGCTGAAAATATAGAAGCAGATTGCACATGCAGATGGAGCGCACAGAATCTATGCAAAAGACTGATACGAAACTGCATTTTCCTTAAAACTGGATTTATGCTTATTACTTCAGATAATAAATGAAACTTACATCTAAAATAACATCCAGGAATATTGGATGAGTTTGTGGATGGAAAGAATAGCCTAGCTCTGTTATTTTATCCAGTCAGGGAAACAAAGAAAGCAGGTGAGTTGACAGGATAGATTAGTTTTGAGTGTTGGTAGGAAGTGATGAAAATAATTCTGCTGAGAAAGTTGCCTTTTTTCTTTAATCTATTTGTATACTTTCTTGAAGCCTTGTACCTAAAATGAACTAGTGCTACATTTTTTGTTCTTATCCCCCAAATCAGGAACACCTGCTCAAGAGCTTGCAGACAAGAAATCCTACTAACCAAAGATAGCACAGTTTTGATCACTATCATTAGATTTGTCCAAGTTCTCTGTATTATGATTTTGCATTACTGCCAGTGAAGTCTGTGAATACTACAGTAAGCTTGCTATATGGCTACTGGAAAGATTTGTGTTAGAAAGCAGGCGAACTAAATATTCAGAGGATGACCTTTCCTCATGGTAAAGGGCATTGCAAAAGAACCATCAACATCATACATGCATTTAATGTGTTAATTATTTCACGTTGTAATTTTTTACCATATAGCTTCCAGCAAAAGACAAATCTTGCACCAATACACGCTCCAAAATCAGTTCATGTTTTTTCCTTACCCAAAAGTTGACTCAGTCCTACAGATGTGGGTTAGAGTTGAGGTACAGGCAACCAAAATCCATATAGAGTTGAAGGCATGTGTGTTGATGACAGACGGAGATGTTTTTACTACCTTACCCCTTGTCACGGTCCATCTGTGGGAAAAAGATGCTCGTAAACTTCTGAACTTATTTAAACCATGTAAACTTCTTGCTATGCTAATCTCTGCAAGGGAGGAGGGAGTGAGAGAAGGCATGTGTAACTGTGTACTAGAAAAAGCCACGTACCTTTGGTGAGACTATTTTCACATATGGCATTATCGCCCCCCCATCCCCAACCCCCTAAACTTCATTCCCCTTTTAGAAAGTGATTTTTATTGGTGAAATCCCAACTACACCTCCCTTTGGAGTGTCTTTCTCCATCTTCCAACATAGAATCTGTTGGAAACATGCATAAATGAATAGCAATCTCATCAACCTTTGCATTGACTTCTGGAACGTCTTCGATTTTAACATTCTGTTTTGTTAGGCCACATGTAAGAGGAACAGCAATGACCCTAGTACCAACTAGGCTTGTTTATCATAGGAAATGCCTGACCAAGATGCATTTGGCAATGCGTAAGACAGAGCCCTGTCGTGGGTTGACCTTGGCCAGATTCTAGGCACCCACTGAAGTTACTCTGAGCTGGGAGAGGTCACACAGGCAAAACAGACTCAACGTGGGGTTAATACTAAATTTATTACTAACAGGATAAGATCTAAAGAGTGAGAAATAAAACAGTCTTAAACACACTTTCCACCCACCCCTCCTTCCTTCCATGTTCTCCCTCCTCCCCCCGCAGCAGTGCAGGGAGAAAAATCCAGCCCTTGGGCAACAGGTCTTCTAAATCTGCTGTCCTGTAGGTCGCTCTTTCATGGGCTGCAGGGGGACAGCGTGCTTCACCATGGTCCTTACCATGGGTTACAGCAGGGGCCACAGCTCTGAGTCCTTCCCCTGCTCCTTGGGGTCCCTCCCACTGGTAACAGTCCTTGATGGACATCTCCAGTGTGGGTCCACCCCTCAGGCAGTAGTTCTTCCATATCTACTGTCCCGAGGGTCACTTCTCCATGGGGTGCAGGGGGGGGTCACTGCACCCCAATGGTCCTTCCTAGGATGCAATCCTTCGTAGGGTGAGCTGTACCGATGTGACCCCCAGAGGGCCATGAGTCCTACGCAGGAATAACCTGCTCCAGAGCGGATTTTCCTCTCCACAGGCCACAAGTCTCCTTGTAAGTTTTATAAGTAGGTTTTAAAAGCAGCAACCTCCCCCCCCCTTTTGTCCCTTTCCCTTTCTCCAGTACCCTTGTTTATACATTCCTTAACCCTCTTACCCCATTCTATGCTCCCCATATCAATCCTACTTCTGAATACAGCAGAAATGTTTAGTCTTTTGTCAAGGCAAGGCCTAGATGGTTGACAGAACAGCATATCAAGGCCTAAACCGCAGAATACGGTCAAGAATTAGGTAACTATGTACCCTTTGTGCTCTGATGATGGTGAAGATGGGATGAATGAGGGGTCCCAAAATACACCCCAGACTCATTTCAAGGGGGTGGATCCGGGGCGGACCAGAGTAAAGGCCACAGGGTGGACACATCTGGGATTGGATGGATGGTATTATAAAATGTAACCTCTCAGGCACGGCCTGCGCGCGCGTCGTGTAACATCTACTGCCTTGGCAAATAAACCCTTTCTTATCTCACCCCTAACTAACTGCTCTGGAGATATTTTTTTCAGCCCCAAAATACAGCGGCAACACTGGAGACAATACTTTCCTTTCCATAACATTAATTCAACTGTGGTCTCTCTGACTTCCCCCTTTTCCTGCAGTATGGCTTATGCTATGCTTTGCACTGTCATGACTACAGGTTTAGTATTATGAAAAATACCTTTCAGACATTCAGTCTGGCAACTCTAGATGCATTGCTGGGTTTCCATAGAAATGACACAAAACAAATTAACATATGTAAGACCTGACTTGTCTTTTGTCAGGTCCAGAAATCTGAGTCCCTTTCTTGTGATAGGGACACTTGATTAATATATTACTTAATTTGGTGTAGTAGGGTGTTTCCTCTATTCAGAGGCAGTCTTGCTGAGAAACTTTATTTGCTTCCACTCTTGTAATCATCTTTTCTGATACCAAAACTGAGTTAACTTTTCATCTATCACTGTGCTGATCCTGGAAAAGTAGTGTCTTCCACCACATTTTTATTTAAATAAATAGAAATTCTACATCCCCCATGTGATTCTTTTGACATCCCTAAGGAACTAGGACATCCAGGTATAGACCTAAGTTGCCAGATATTTCTTTGCAGAGCTTCAACCTTCTCTAATATATTCGGGATTTTCTATAGGAGTTCTTGGTCTTTCTGGTATAGAAATAAATTGCTATTTTATCAATTTTAGCATAACTAAAAACCCACAAAATCCGCAATTTAAAACTTCAAGTTGCCAAAATTATTCTGTGCAATCTTACCACTTCCCTGTCATGGAAAAAATGTGAGTGCTTAAGACTCGTGCAAGAAGACTAATAATTTGTTCAACCTTGATACTCTATAGATCTGGGAAACAAATATTTCACTTGGTTCTTTCTTTACTGTGCATTGGCTGAGGTCTATGTAAACTGCCCAGGTAATGGAGGAAAGAGAGGGTGAACTGGGAATGATCAGACTCTAAAAGCCTGGCTTGCTACAACTTGGGCACATACTTTGTATGTGAAGTAGTAAAATGTTTTTGTATTGCGTAGAGTAGCAGAGAACTTGTGGGTTCTTGCTCTTTCTCAGAACTTCTCCTCAATGTAGCACTCCTCACTGACTAGCAGGACATTTGCCAAAAAGACATCTACTCACCGTTTCAAATCATGGAGTGAAAGATAAAAACACATCTGGTAGTCTGTTTCAGCTGTTAGTCATCATCACTTTTTGGCAGCCAAGGCTTTTTCTCCAAGCTTAAGTCTTTGGTAGAGGCATCTTCTCCCCCACAGAGCTAGCTGGTTGCCCTGTTAGGAGAGTAAATCTTTGTGTTGAATATGTCTTGAAGCACTCTTTCTGCTCTCACTTCAGTGCTTTCATGCTTTCCAAAGCTGTATACAGAAATAAAATTGCCTCTTTCCTCTAACTCTTCCTTTGAGTGAGCAAAGGCTGGAGTAGATATGTCTGGTACTGAAGGCTAGGAAAATGGTTCCCAGTCACAGCATCCAAACTCCTGTTGGTTTTGTTTGTGACTTTGTTTAACTGCACTTGGTTGAAACTGTGAGCAAAGTGGTGCTACTTTGAAAATCTGCTTTATAAGGGATGCAACTGGAAAAAGAAATTTGTGCTTGACAGAATAAGAAATGACGATGCTGTGCAATTCTGCTTCAAATAAAGACAATTACTTTTTTTTCTAATGCCACAAAATGCTTCTAAGTCTTTCTGCTTGATTAAGTAATCTCTTGTAAGGCTTCATCATATTAACCATGAAGGAAAATCCCTAAAATTATCTTTTAAATTACTTACCAGAGATTTATAGATCTGGTTGAAGGATTTGCAACAATTCAGTGAAGCAGTTGCATCCTGACAATGTCCAAAGGTATATGAGTCTGTGTTACAGGAACTTTACAATGAGGAAAGAAAACGTAGCCACTGTACACCCCAAATATGCGAATGAAAATAATTGTTTGCTTAAAAATCCTCCCAGCAAATGTCTTATCCACAGTATAGGTTCTGTATCCTCTGTCTCATTTCATTTTGTCTGTTTCCATAACCTTTTTTTTCCACCTATGTTGTTTTTCAGCAGACACGTGATAAAATATCTAGGCTGGATTCCAAGGGTGGGATAAAAAGCTGTGTTTATTTTTATGGAAGCACTAACAATTCTATTTGGATTGGATTTCTTCATAGCAAAACCAATGAATTATTGAACAGATTGCACCTGGGTTTGCCAAAGAGTGATTCCTGTCAGATTGCTAATCCTGGCCCAGAATCTACAGCATGGGTAAGCAAGACTATGGTGTGTGCTGTATTTTCTATCAGCTTTCCAGGTGCTGTCAATAGTGTAATGTTAGAATATTCTAACTGAGCTTAATTGTCTAGCCATAACTCAGTGAGTACCAAGGAGTCTTTCTGGGTGAATGAGATTGCCTACATTGTCTCTTACAAACTGGTAGAGTATTCTACATAGTAGGGGAGTGCTCACAGATCTCTCTCTGATAAATGAGAACCAGATTTATATTCAAAGGTCAGATCAGAATCTTAAATATGCCCTGTACTCATCCGTTGGTGGTAAGCTTTCATGAAATCTCGATTAGTTCTTGTCAGCAGAAGCTTTACTGCATTAAAAATCTAGTCAAAAGAAAGAGAAGCCTGTTTCTCACTGTATCGTAAAAAGTGATTCCATACGCTGCCTGGGGTCTTTGTCCCAGTTTGAGCGAGCCTGGTGAGTATCAATGTAATTAGGAAATAGATAAAGTATTGCTTAAGTTTAATTATTCTAATTGCCTCTAAAAGGCTTTTCCACATACAATTAGTCTCTTCATGTCTAAACCAAGCTTTCCTATTATGTAATAACTTTCAGTGAGGAATATTAACCCTGAGACAGAAGTATTTCTCCTGTAGGGAGATTTGTAATTGGGGGAAGACAGAGAAGAGGCAGCCAAGTGGACAGAAATTACTCTTATAAGTAACTCAGAGGAAATTTGGAAGTATCTGATCTGGGCAGCCCTCTATTGTATACAATCTTGAACAGCTGAGTAACAGGAAGGGAAGATTTGCCTCCCTATTTCCTCAGAAGCCTTAGAAAGGTGCAAAAAATCCTCCCGTTACTGAAATTGCTGGCAACAGAGTATATGACAGCTGTCTTGCCCCTCCTTTCTCTCCCTGGTTTGCATGAAAAGGGAAGGTGATATTGAAAATAGATTTCTTTCCCATTTGATTTTGCCAATAATTTTGTGCCTCTGAAAATCCTAAAGAAATCCTTGCATATGTGAGCAGATATATAGCTTGAAGGAACCAACTCCTGTCCAACATTGCTGGACAGAAGGTCAATTGCAGGAGAGTGGCTTTCAGACTATCTTTTGTAGTCCTGGATGGACAAGAAAGATGAAAGACCATGGGAAGAGAGAAAAGTTGTCTTGAAACTACTTCTGCCTCCCTCTTGAAGCATCCAACACTCCAAACAGTGGGGAGCTTGTTCTTTGGTAGGGAGGACCCCGCTCTGCAGCCTTTGTATGGTGCGAGCATTGAACTGTGAACACAAGTGAGCTCATATCCCCAGGACTGACTTGGATTTCAGCATTTTGGTGTGGTGTCTTCATATCCATAGAGAAGTGGGTGGAAGTCTGAAGGAACACTGAATTCTTTCAGATGTTCAGGTACTTCTTTTAGCCTTGGCCTTCTACTTTACCTACATATGTGTGTCTTTCTCAGTCCAGGTTTTGACAGGTTTCTTAATAAATTGTGCCAAATTACATACCATAGTTAATCTTTTGCTTTGCTAGTGTCCAAGCAGGTAAAATACATCATTCATCAGTACTGTTCTTTAATACTAGATGATGTTATACCTGTCGGTTGCATAGCAGCATTTCTATAGCTTTCTGAATCAACTAATCACTTGCTTGTAATGCAGCAATGCAGTTAGCAGTTCTCCCAAGCAACCTGGATGAGGTATGGTCTATAGGCATACTCACACCATCTGAGCTCTGTGTGAGGAATGTGAAGCGCATAACCAATGAGTTGTTATCTAAATAATCTTGGCATAGTATCAAGATTCTAAACCAGTGGGAAAGCTAGGACTCTAATTTAGAACGTGTTATCTTGAACGTGTCCTTTGTCTGGAGTAATTAAAAGATTCAGGAACGATGCATTTGAAGTAGTGAAGTGTGATAAGCTTAGGACATGGCTGACATGCATGCTAAAAGGGGCATACATGTACATATATGTGAGTTTTAAAATTTAAAATTCATCCTCTAACACCAGTTTGGGACAATGTAATAATGGTCTAAGTTTTTCCCTCACATCATTTCTTTGGTAGTGATATTAATTCAGCACACCTAGTTCGACTATCAAGGCCAAATGTTACTTGATGTCTGCGAACAAATTTGACTTCTTTGGAGTGACTCTGTCATTGATGACTTTTTTGGCCCACTTATTTAATCAAGCTCATAATTAATTTTAATCCTGTCTTTCAAAGTGTGACCAATCCTGTGTAGATTTTTATTGTCTTCCAACTTGATTAACATACTCTCCACACAATTCTCCAAGCCATTATGGAGAGTAATGAATAATATCGGACCCAGAATGAGTCTCCCTGGACACATGTAACAACTTCTCCCAGCTCAAAATTGAGCTATTAATAATTGCTTTCTCTATTCAGTCTTTTTAGCAAATTATGTGCCTGTTGTTTTAATGGTGTCATTCTGCATGCATATATCAAGTTTTGAGAACATTGTGTAGACCTGCCACAAATTCCTCACTGAAGTCAGACCTGCATGATTTTTGTATTAAATTATACTGTCTCATTATTAAGTGTGCTACACTATGTCCCTCCTCAAAGACTTTTCAGTACAAGTTCCAGTGTATAATATCCTGAAGATCCTATAAGATCCTAATGGCTTTTTGCCAACAAATAAAACTTGTGAAAGACCAGGGCTAGTTACTATAATGAAAATGTACTGCACAGCTGAATATACTATTTGTGATGTGTAGTTCAGATTTTCAGGTGTCTTGGCTGTCCCACAAATAATAGAGCAGATTTCATCTCTCAGTTTCTGTTGTCTTTCCTCCACAAATAATCCTGCTTTTCCCTCTGTTACCAGACCTCTGTTCTGCTTTTTTATCTTGGTAATATTTCCAGTACTTTTTTTCTTCCCAGAATACCCCATCTCACTATGATATATCCTAATTGTGTTTTGTGACTGCTTAGATTATGTTTGTCACTGGGACATGTGCTGTGGATACTTTGTTGTGATGTATAGGTGGACGTTCAGCCAAGCTGAATCACAGAGAGACTTTTAAACACTTCTTGTTTAAATTCTAGTTTTGAGACTAATCTGTTTCTCGAGTAACTAGAATCATTCAATGATTTGTATTTGTTAATTACCCATATAACAAATTGGGAATAAGGTTCTGGAGTTTGGCCTCCCCTTCCCCACACCAATATATTTTTATTTTCTGCTGAAAAATAGACAAGAAGCCATGCTTATAAGCAAGCTCTTCGAGAGGATGATAACAGAAGATTAGAGGAAATGAAGCAAGAACAACGAAGGAAGGTATTTATACATTAACAGTTTGCATAGTGTAACTTTTTTGCATGCTGTGAAACCAATTAAATACATTGATTACTTGTAGTCTATGCACAGAGCTTCTCTTCAGCAAAAGTCATTCAGTCACTGTTTTCAAACATTGTGAGAGACGAGTCGAGTTGCAAAATTTGAACAGGGGCGAGGCAATTGTCTTCTGGGTTCAAGGCTGTTTGCATCTGGATAAGAAGCTCCTGTTTGCCTCTCCATATGAACAATTGTGCAGAGTGTTTTTTCACCATGGCACCTGATTTCATAGGCTAAGGAAACCAGTTTACTCTCTCTCGAGCAGAAGTCGTCTTACTGAGATATTCATGATGATCTCAGTCTGAATAGTCTGTTTCTACAGAATTGGCACCCATGTGCCCTGCTTTCTCAAATGGGGACATGGAAACGTTCAGATTTGCTGTTAGTTATAGTATGCTTCTCTGTTCCCTTACTAATCACCTAAATGAAGAGTTTTGAATTGTCTAAAAAGCAGGCATGCCGTAACTGCAACTTTGAACTCCATCTTCTGCATATGTGTCATGCATTGCCTGAAATGTGTCTGAACACTGTAGTCCCTCTGTTATAGATTTGGGTACCATAACCACATGAAGTTCATCTACCGAAGACGATGGCAGTGTGCTAAGTTATCTGTCTTGGCTCCAGGTCTGACTTCGAAAGTGCGGGGAGGGCAACATTTGAAAATCATATTAGCGAGTCATTGGAAAACATATGAGCAAATACTGAGCCTCTTGCTGTGCCTCTACTGTTACTAGTATCCAAATTCACGTTAAAGTACTTCCCCGGTCGCAGAACCTTAGCACAACAAATTCCATGCAGTGAGTTTCTACTAGAGCTGGAGAAGTGACTGATTCCCTCTTGTGGATATTTTTCTTTACATGTTGGGGATGTGTCCTCATTTCATGTTATTGTAACACTGTGATACCGGAAACAAAAGGTGGAGCAAAAGGGAGGTTCTTAATTGCTATCCCATCAGGTGTATGCTTATTCCCAGGAACTATAAAGAGTAAAATTTTTTAAAATCAGTCCTGATGAGTGTAAGGCTGGTAGCTGTTGTATTCTGTACATTGATTCTTCCAAAGAGAAAATAGCTACAGATGTAGATTAGCTTGCCCCTAATTGATGAGGGTTTTTCTAAGGGACTTGTGTAGAGCTGTAGACTCTTTACTAATTTCCACAAATTAATAAGAAGGTGTTGGCTGCTTTTAAGGCTGGACTTGTTTGCTACATGGTTCCAGGGTCTCCTTGCCTTCACAGTTGCTGCAACCTATCAAGCGAAGTAATGCACTACTTACAAACCTACAGTAAATAATATATATTTTAAAAGCTCCAATAATTGTCCCTCAGATATATGTTGGCTCGTTTCTACTTCAAACCAATATTTATTAAAGTAATCATGGATTTTGTCTTGTGTGTACCTCCTGGCACAGTGTAGCTATAAAATGTGTAGGCATTGTCAGTTCCCTTTTTAGTTCACAATAGGTTTTAGTATGTATTACTTGATTTAGAAATTTTCAGTACATTTTGCATCATATGCACACAATATATTTCAGAACATTACTCCAAGAGAGGAGTCGGCATACTGGAAAGTCAGATACTGAGTTTTAATTTTCAGGTTGAATAGTTATTTAAAACAGTGAAAATTAGGGTTGGCTTTTTTATTTCTTAATCCTGTTTCTTCTTTAAGGCTAGACAAATATTGATACACAACACATTCTCAGTTATTGATTTTCTTCGTACATGTATTGAATAATTACTATTTAATGTTCCACTTAAATTGATTTAAAGAAAAAAAAAGACTTGTGGTTCCATTCAGTTATTGAAGCTTTTATCTAAACGAATAATTTTATTTTAGTTTCTATTCCTACTGCCTCACAGTTGCTATGGAAAATATGAAAGATGGGTCTGTTCCTATCCCTTCACATTTGCCCTGCAAGCCAAATTTTTTCTGCAGAAAAATCTGCACCTTCAATTCTTGGGTGCCTTACAAGGAGCAAGAGCTACACAAACAAGCAAATATGCAGGCCAGAGTCATACAAACTGTGTTTCCTTCACAGTTCTGGCTAAAATTGCATAAGCAAACTCTCCTTTGAAAAGAATCCCATTTGACACTGTTTATATACCTTAATATTACATAAGGATGGTTAGTCTGCTGCAATGTTGAGAGCTTGCATATGCTTCCACCACACCAAAAAGTATCATTTGCCCTCGTCACCCTGGTAGGAGCCCCAGGGAGCTGGAGGTAACACACCACACCACATACCCCATATCTCATCTTTTCCTTGTGCTCTTTAGAGGCAGGAGGGAAAAGGGCATGTCTCCTTCTTACCCTATGGGCATGACAGCTCTGTCTGCTCCTGCTAGATTACTTTGGCTGTCTTCCCCCTTGGACCCACAGGGAAATTCAAACCTCTGGGTTGGGGCAAGGGGAAGCAGACTGGTGTCTGGCATACCCCCTTAAATGTAGGACTGTAAATGTCTGAATCCTGTAACTTCCCATTTTTTAAGGCACCCACATGCTGAATAGAAAAATGAACTCAATTTTTGACATAGTGCTGTCACATAAATAAAATGCTGCTGAGAGACGTTCTGGGAATGACATGTGGCTCTAACTGAGGTTAATATCATGTGGAATTAGTAGGGTTTGCAGCATAAGTATGTTAATTAAAAGTAAGTTAGTTTGTTTGTTTATTTGTTTGGTTTTCACTTTTATCATTCCCAGGCTGAATTAATGGAATTTAAACAAAAGCAGGAAGAGGAAGCCAGGACAAGAGCACATCAAAATGAACAGAGGAGGTACAGTGCAAAAAATGCAGAGTACACTCTAATTGAATTCCCACCTGGAAAGGGTCTCAAAATTGCAGGCACTCATACTTTAGAAGACGATTGCAAAGAGGATCCTGTATCTCGTCTCTGGTTTAGCTTTGCTTTCAAATGAGGCACTAATATCTATCATTTCAACTGCTCACAGTAACGCAGGATGACCCAGAGTGCCTTTTTAATTTTCTTTATCCTATCAGCATAGGATACAGGATAGGGTAGAAACTATTAGTACAGTATTAACTACTAGTACAGTAGCTTCAGTTGGGACACACGTTTATCTATCTATCTATCTATCTATCTATCTATCTATCAGTAAGATAGATATAAAATCTACATAATTTTACTTTCTTCTACAGTGGGTTACTTAGTCCATTGTGGTTGACTGTCACTAAGGTTAACAGACAGAGCTAAACATGGGATTTGATATCCATACAGATAGATACTGCTCTTGCAGTGCAGCAAGGCCTTCTGCATTAGCATTTCTTCACACCTCAGGCTGTGCCTCACTGCTGTGACCTCTCCATGCTCAGCTGTTCTCATCTTCTGCTTCAGTCACTTAACTGACTTTCCGTTATCCTGAAGCACAGCTTTATTCTCAGCTTCATTTTCTGCTGGAAAAAGAAAACAATTCTCAGGCTCAAAAATAAATCCACCATTTTTTTATACCATTATGGAAATATTAAAAAAATACTTCTGTAGGCAACCACTCTCCATACTGCTTTCATTTCTTTTTTTTCTCTAGCAAAGACATTGAGATAATTACCCATAGAAGCTAATGAAGGATTTTCGATTCACTCCATCTCATGTCCCTATGTAGAAATAACACAGTATCTTGCATTTTATATTTTTCTTACAATGGTATTTTAAAACATTAAAACAACAGTCATGTAATGACATACATAAGCATGTATGTCATTCCTAAGCATTAATAGGGGGAAAAATGAAACAGTTTTCAAAAGAATCATAGAATTATTTGCGTTGAAAGGCACCCTAAAGATCATTGAGTTCCAACCTCCCTGTCATGGGCAGGGACACCTTCCGCTAGACCAGGTTGCTCCAAGCCCCATTCAACCTGGCCTTGATCATTTCCAGGGATGAGGCATACACAGCTTCTCTGGGCTACCTGTTCCAGTGCCTCACCACCCTCAAAGTAAAGAATTTCTTCCTAATAGCCAATCTAAATCTACCTTCTTTGAGTATACAGCCTCTACCACTTATCCTATTACAACATGTCCTTGTAAAAAGTTCCTCTCCAGTTCTCTTGTAGCCCCTTTCAGGTACTGAAAGGCTGCTATAAGGTCACCCTGGAGCGTTCTCTTCTCCAGGTTTAACAATCCCAATTTGAAAATACTTAAAACATATTGAGGAAAACTATGTTTGTATTTGTTCATGCTTTCCATGTTGATAGAGCAGTGAATGCTAGAAGAAAATGCTAGAGTTGATTCCAGAACTGGATAGTAGGGAAAGTTGTCAGCTGCATAAATTGTCTCTATTAGTTACAAGCTTAGGTTGTTTTTTCATTTGCATTAGGAAATCAGTACTTCTAGAAACTTTCCTTGTGTGCTGAAGGCTGAGTGATTATCTAAGATGAATTGTCAGAATAGGTAATTTCCCTGATAAGGTGAGTGGTGTTGTGCAGGTCATCTTTCTATGGAGAATTTTTCACAGCAGCCAAGATGTGCCTTTTAATCACAACAGACTGACCACAGGATAAGGATGCACCTATAGAACTGAAAATTAAATCCACTCAGTCTCATTCTTGTCCACAGTTATGCAGCACAGGTTTGAAAAATATAGGAGGATAGGCACTGAATGGAGGGGAAGGGAAAGCCACTCACAAAATATTAAATTTCAACAGTTTGTGAATTTCTCAATTACCTTCAGTCATTATTCATTTTTTTATTGTACTTTAAGGGTAAATAATGCTTTCTTGGACCGACTCCAGAAGAAAACACAACCTAATGAGAGCTACCAAACTGGATATACTGGACTACCTCATTAATGACACAAGGGTAAGTTTTTGGGAGCAGAACTTGGAAATAATGAGTTGACTTTTTCTCCAGACACTATTGTGAGTCTGGGTGTGTTTAACCTGCCTCACAGAACTTACAGTCCTGGATGGCTGTCCTCAATAGCTTTTAAGAAGGAATCCTGTCTATATATAAGCTGTTCAAATGGGAGGAGGGAAAAACAGTTGCTCTTGTAGTAGAATTCAGTGGCTTTGCATGCAAGATACTCACTGCAAGGAGCAACATCCAAAGTACTTCCTTAAGTTCAAACAAGGATGGTGAATTGTTAGGAATTTTTTGAAAATCTTTAAATGAAAGATGTTTGGATATGCTGTAAATATTTTAATATGATACTGAAATTGGAGTGGAAAAATGCCATATATGTATATCTACATAGTTATTCCCACATATAGCTGTTCATTTTTTACCCATATAAAATTATGACAAAGAAGGCCCAACAACAACTGATTTAAAATCAGTGTTTTTAAGGATTCTTTGAAGAAAAGTAATCTTGACTGTAGTCTATTAAATATCCATTCATTTTTCAACTGTCCTAATGAGGCATTAATTTGACTGTTGTTTAGAATTGCACTCTTCAGTATAAACAAAAAAATAAAATTATGTGTATTCCCATCATGGAAATTTCTGTTAGGTTGAACTTCCATGGATGAAAGGACCCTAGTGCAGAAATGGAAGAGTTAGGAAGACTGAGCAGCAAAATTATGAGAGTCTAAGAGAATTTAATGAGTTTGCCAGTGTAGAGGAAGGTGTTTAGCTGATGAACTAAAAGCTTGAATTGGATTTGTTGGACTATCTGGTGAGGATGCATATGTTGGCCAATGAATGCCAGGAAAACTTGGGTTCAAGCATCTACAAAGTCAAGGCTTAGTTGAAAAGCAGATATTGTTACTGCTGGAGTTTTCCATGTGCTGGAACTGTCTTCATCACTACAAGCTTTGGGCAAGCCCTAGACCACAGCAGAGGGCTCAGGAACCTTGGACTGGTCCTCTTGGCCTTGTGAGAGGAGACAGGACCTGCCAGTTTAACCTCCCATGAGGTCTGTGAGCAGATGCTTGGCAAAGCAGGTGGTTAGAAGCTTTACTGGTAAGGTCTGGATCATGCGCCAGGCAGTCCGGAAGTTGCTGGAAGCCAAACTACAGATGTCCAGGCTACTTAAAGACTGTGAGTAAGACAGCACTGTGTATGGCAGGCCTGAGTCATCTGCTGAAGGACGGTGTGTCTACAGACAGCAGAATTAGACTTTGGGTAGGACAGAGCCAACTGATACCTCGTAAAGAGCAAAAGGTGAAGTTTGCTGAATGGTTCCTGGTTAACAAAAGCAACAAGGGCACTGTGCGTCTTTTATCCTCATTTGTATACTGTTCCTTGAAAAACTCAAAAGGAAATGTGTGACATAGCTGAGATTCCCAATATCTAGACTCAAGCATCTCCATCAGAGCACCTGCCATTGCCACTGGAAACCTTGCCGTTGCCTGCAGAGGTAGCAGCAGGGTTTTACCTGTAGCCAGGTGCACATCGTCTTTCACAGGGCAGGTGTTGCTACCACCAAATGAGTGTACTCAGCCCAGGCACAGTTTTAACAACAGATGCCTCTGTGATGTATGCAGCCAATCTGTGGGGTAGTGGGCGAGAGTGTTAAATATATATATTCAAAGAATGCATCAACAAAAACGCAATAAAATCCCATGTGTAGAAATGATTAATTTCCTACTCTGTTGTTTACTTAATGGTTTCCAAGGAGCCTGTCTTCTGTTGAGTAATGCTCGATCCATTTTTCCTTTATGTTGTGATGTGAGATTTGAAGACTTAACAGAGGAGGGAAAGATTAAACAATGAAAGAATATGTCATAATGGAAAGGAATTAAAAATGAGCATTGGTAACTAGTACAAGAAAGAAAAATACCTCTCAAAAGATAGGCTGGAGGCAGCAACCTCAGTGTCTTTATAATGAGATTCTTCTCCTTTCCCCAGGGATTTTAAACAAAAAGAACTGAACTCCAGGTGGGGCTTACAAGCCATGTAGTCTGCAGCCTGGCATTTTACATTTCAAGGGAGCTAACTGAAGCAGGTCAGACTATATACTAAGATTAAAAGAAATTAGAAAGGTTCACAAAGTAGAGACCTGCAGGTAATTTTTGAGCCTGCTCTGTCTGTAGTGACACTGAAGAGAAAATATTTGTTCTCTTTCCCTCTTTTTTTTCCGCGTTTGAACTCTTTAAAGTCACAACAGCTTCACACTTAACAGAAACTGAACACTGTGCTCTGTTGTTGATGTACCTGCTGTATTTTTCACTGTTATTTCTATTGGCCTGGTTTCCTAAGGAAATTAAGTTTGTATGATAATGCTGTCTGTCTGCACGTAATAAGGTTTTCAAGCTGATGGCCAATCTTAGCCAAATTTGAAAGAGATTGTAAGTCTCAAAGATAATTAAATTTCTGTGTGTTTGTGAAAGCAATGACTGGCATAGGAGAGACCCCAAAACAGTGCCCCACTCTGAGAGGTGGTGGGCACTCCTTCGGCTGCAGCCCTCTGGCTGATCAGTGAGGACACAGCTCCTGAGCAGCTGCAGCTCTGCCCTGGTTTCCTGGGGACATGCATATCACAAGAGACATGGAGAAAAGATGAGGAAGATGAATATGTAGTGTATGTCTCAGCATGATGGAGGAGCCCAGCTCCTAATGTCCCCTAATCAATAGGAAATGAGTTTTCATTAATTCAATTGCCTTCCAGATGTTTTGTGGTTTATTAGGAATATTTATAAACTGTTATTTTGAGAAGGATGTTCATGAAAGTAATCTTTTCTGCCTTTTTGGTTATAAATGCCAAAGCACCTTCTATGTCATTATGAGGTTTCCTAGTTTTAATGGGAAAACAACTTAATGAAGTTTCACTTCTACCTGTGAGCTACTGCAGCCTTGAGAGAACTCTGAGTCTTGTTGCATACTGTCAAGAAAGTTTTGATGTCCTTTCCATTGCCATTGTCTCTGACATAAGGATAAACCTCTCAGGATAGGAGGGTAAAAAAATAATGGTTGTCCTTTCAACATCAAAGCTTAATAAATAAGACCATATCATAGAATCATCAAATGGTTTGTGTTGAAACAGACCTTAAAGATTATCTAATTCCACCTACCCCTGCCATAGACAGGGACATCTCCCTAGATCACATTGCTCAAAGCCCCATCCAACCTGGCCTGGAACGTTGCCAGGGATGGGTCATCCACTTCTCTGGGCAACCTATGCCTCTGTATTCCTGTACCTCTCCATCCTCACAGTAAAGAACTTCTTCCTAACTTAGTTGTTACTTAGCTAGAACTTATAACTGAGTCAGTATCTGTTTACTGTAATGGCACAGATTATGAGTTTTATTTAAATAGTAAAACACTTCTATTGTCACAAAAGAATAACTTTAAAACAGTTGCACATTTTTATATTCAATACTCGTGAGGATTGCCCGTATTGAAGTACAGAGAGATTTGCAGAGGCCAAGTGCTAATACGTGGCAAGCCTGTAACAGAGCCCTTGTTTATTTTTTGCATGGAAATGGAGCACTGTCAAGTACCCTTTCGTCTCTTCTGTTAATGGGAAGAGGTCACATGGTGAACATATGAAATTTATGTCTGCCCTTCTTTAGGGAAATACCATTTGTCTTGCTGAAACTCTCTGAGCTATAGGAAAACCAGAATCTAGAAAGCAAGATGACATATTACATCTTCCTGTTTCATGTCTCCATTACACCCGGTGTCATGCATAAGAATGAGAAATGCTCCCTTGGATGCTGACTCTGCTCTTTCAGTGGATGCATAATTCTAGATATTTGCTGTGGGAAGCAACTATGCCCTGAAAACACAGGTGCAGTGGGACAGGAAACCCCATTCTCTTCCTTTCCCATGTGCAGAACAGGAAGTCAATAGATGTTGGATAAATCTGTTTTGAGGAAAAATGATTTATGGATAAAACTATTTTAAATAAACATGGTTTGTGGGTTTGCACTTGGTTTAGTTCTTGTAGCATGACCCACGGGAAAGTCTTTTTGGAGCATTAACCAGCGCTTGGTTTGCTATTTACTACCAGTTGAAGAGGGAGTATGTCATGAAGTTTACTGTTGCACAGCGAAAAGAACCATAGCTCAAAGGCCCCTGAAGTCACAAGAGCAGCATACATGCCACAGGTTTCCATAAACAATCAGCCTTTAATGAACTTTCAGAAGTATCAAGTTGCACTGAAAATGCTGGTTTCCCAGCACAAAGAAAAAGGTTTTACTTAATATGGAAATATTGAGAATAGAATGTTTATACAAGAAGGTTCCAGAATGCAATCCACAGTGCTTACATTTGTTTTAATGAAGAATGTGATTCATTAGTATAGCTTTAACTTGGTTAGTTTATGTACAATCTGAGTTGAAAAGATTATTTTTTTCCTAAAACTGGTTATTTTCTTGTTAGTTTGTATTCTTCTTTTTATTGAAAGTAATATGCTTGTTTTCCTGGCAGAAAGATGACAGAAAATATAGAAACTACTTAGCAGAAGTATCAGCATCAATATAGGAACGTTAGATGAGTAGGTCCAGGCATGCTGTATCCCAGTTTAATGACTTACCTCTGTTAAGGCTGTCAAACATCATATGCAGATGCGTTCTGCCTGCCTTGACTTTGAGCTCAATCTTTCTTTCCTTTGAAAATCTCATCCTAAAAGAGAATAGTGGCAGCCTGGAAAGGAACAGAAGAAACTTCTCACTCTTTCAAATTGTGTGAGGTCAAGAAATGACTGAGGTATCTGAAGACATTTGAAACACTCCTAGATTGTTATTTTTTTCCCCAATAAAAACAAGATACGTTTATCTCCTGAGTCAATACACTATGCTATTCATATTGAGTTCAAATCAAATGCTTGTTTCTTGCTAGAACTGGAATCTTGCAGAACTACTTACTTGTTATTTTAAGTGGAGTTTCAAAAGGCCAGAAAAGTCTTCAAATAATCC